GATTACCTAATAAACCATTGCAACCAACGAATGTCCGGTTTTTTGTCGTCTACGCATCATCATCATCGTCGTCGTCATCATCATCGTCGTCATCATCGTCTTCAGCAGTTCGAACGGCTTTGAGAGTAAAGTTATCCCAGGCTTCTTCCAATGAACTGCCATCTGATTTGGCCAAGAGAGGGGCGAATTTGGGAAGGGCGCTCTCTTCTCCTTCTTCTTCGTCGTCATCGTCGCCGCCACTTTCCTCTTCGCCCCCAGCTTCTTCTTCGTCTCCTCCTCCAGATTCTTCTTCTTCCTCTTCGGCTGCTGGTGCTGCTTCTTCTTCTTCCGCCTCCTCTTCTTCTTCTTCTTCTTCCTCCTCCTTGGCGGCTGCCGGCTTGTCCTTGGACTTGGCGGCCATCCGAGCATCCTTGGCCGCTTGGACGGCCTTGATGTGAAGATCTGGTTCCTTGGCCAGACCCAACTCAATCAACCACTCTTGATCCAGTGCCGGCCAAATGAACCATGTGGCACCCAACGCGAGGGGAAACGCCCACATGGCGTATGGGGCTGGATTCGGTCGCATCAACTGCGCCACGGTGGGCGAAGCCTTTCGGAAGGCTGACCTGAAAAAGCTCGACATGGTAGCCTAGACTAGAGTAGCTCCTACGATAACAACAACTCGCTAGCTCTTGGTAGAGTACAGTAGACGATGCCGATGAAAGGATGATGAAACTGCTGCGACGGCAACCGAAGAGCTCGCATCCGACCATGGTAATAAAAGATCGGAATGTTGCTGGACAGAAGGCCAGGCCGTGACGTCAGTGACGCGTGTTGTTTCGGTTCTCATGTGCGCCCTAACATTATAGACGTTAAAGATCTCCAATTCAAAATTCGAAAGACTTAGAGGGGGTTCCAAACCGAGCAGAGATGGAGAAGAATTGGGAACAAGAGGATATCAGAGGATACCCTTGCCATTATCGTGATGCTGTGGTGCCTCTACTTGTCGTTTGGACCTTGGTGCTATTGTGGTTGTCCTTATTATAGACAAGATAATCAGTCATGATGTTGTCTCTCAATGGTAGCTTCAGCAAAGATAAGGATGTATATCCACTCAATACAAGAAAGCCAACGTCCTTGAAGCGGGCATTGGCCATTAAGCATGGAGACAAACTCTTTGTCGCCATTGCCGTCCTGATATGCATGGAAATGAGCATGTTTGCTCGTCTGTATTTCGGAATCGAATCATCCTTTTCGTCTGAAGAATCAGCAACAACAACAACGACAACCAGTGATACTCAAAATCATAAAAACAACAAGAAGCCCCTGCATTCCCACAAGTTAAAGTTACGGCACAAGGATCAACCAACCAAAAGACATCATCATACAGCAGCAGAAACAATGCTGAGACCACGAGTCGTCATGTTGGATCTGTACAACAATGAGGAAGCAGGAATTACATCTACTTCATTTTTTCAACCAAATCCCGCTCGCAAAATCAAGCCAATGGGCGACTTGGATTGCTGCAAACAAGATCCTCAAGGATACATCAAACCAGATGAAAAACCATTCTATGAAACATGTGATCCCATGGCAGAGTGGCAAACTACCATCTATCCCACGTGCAATATGCTACACGAGTTGCCACTCATTGATGATAGTGACGATTATTTCAAACAACAACCACAACAAACTGAGAGAAATGACACAACAACAGAGGTAGAACCGGTTGTATCGCTTCTGAATACAAAAGGATCATGGAGAACTGTTTGGAAAGTCGCCTCACAACAGCAACAATATGCAAGCGGTGGTGAACCACATTATATAGTGTTGAAAACACTTAGATACACTCGTGATTTCAATGAGGAATCCTACCAACTGCAGTACATAGATAGCGTTGCCATGGAGCGCCTGACATCGAGTCCGTACATTGCCAATGAATACGGCTTCTGTGGTCAGTCGGTCCTGACAGAATATGCACCCAAATCGGGGAGAGATTTGATCAAAAACAAGAAACTCAAAACATGGCAACGCGTTCAGATTGCCCATGATCTTGCCGCTGCCTTGTCTGATATGCATTCCATTGACTACCCCAACGCTACCAATGCTACCTTTACACATAATGACATTAACATTGCCAACACTATTCAGGGAGAACATGGGAATATCAAGTTTAATGATTTCAATATTGGCGTGCGAATGCGGTGGAACCAAACGCGCCCCTGTGGCTATCCGGTGCACTTTAATGCACCTCTGTGGAGATCCCCCGAAGAGATCTTGGCCACCAACACGAGCGACTATGTGCAACCCGACAAGAGTGATGTCTATTCCTTGGGCAATCTACTCTTTCAAGTGCTCACGACACATCAGCCATGGACTTGGTTGGAACCTGGAGGACGCTTGTCTGTAGAGGAGGTCATTGCACGCAAACTTGCTGGCGAGTATCCTCACATCCCCAGCAAATTTCACGGCGACAAACCTGGTGTTCAAGCTCTTTACTATGCTACTCTGGCGTGCTTTGCACATGATCCAGAGGATCGACCAACATCTTACGAGCTATCCGAGTCGCTGCGGATTGCGTTGGATTGGTCCAAACAGGGAGTATCCAAAAACAAAGACAATGTGCGCCAGCTGTTCAACTTTCGGCGGCACAGCAAGAAACAAGAACGAACCACCAATGCTAAGCAACAATCTTCCAAAGGCAAGAAGGATATGGGCACGGCCGCACAGCACTACAAAAATGTCACGGATGCTTCAACGCATCGACAAGTGTCAGGTACCAAGAAACGTGTAGTAACTCCGGCACCCCTAAAGGTTGTTCCGTCTCTAGACAACATGAATGCAACCGATTCAACGGAACGAAGGCTGGGTCACAAAATTGCTTGGACCGCCTCAAATAAAACCAAGGAGCTCTTGAAAGCAAAGAGCAAACAAGTAGAAGAAGCCAGAATAGCCAAGGCAATCAAAGAACGGAGGCAGATGTCACGGCCCAAGATTGGAATGGTTCGTGCTCCTGTCAGAACGAGGAGAAGAGGTGGTGTGGAGATGTTGGTGGTTGAGGGCACAACAAACAGAACACCACAACAAAGTTCCAACAGAACCACAGACTCGGACGAAACAACTTCCTTTTGAAAGTAGTCATTCATAATATGTCCTTATGGTTTGCGTTGCAACGGCCGCTATTCTCTGCTTCAAAAGTCAAAAAGCTACTCAAGACTATTGCGGTATGTTGGCGTATCTCTTTACATTACTATAACAACATCTAATTGTAGCAGCTTTATTCGCAGTTTTCATTCTCGCTTACACTTTGGCACTTTGACGGCGCGCCCCAATCATAGTTCTTGGAGCAACAACTTCCACATTCATTTCGCTGTCACCGCATTGCGCCTTCATCTGAACCAGGATCTTTCGCAAGCAGGAGTCGTAACTTCTCGAAGCCTTTCGCTCCATTTGGATTAGACTGTCGCGCTTTTCGACCTCTGTCCGGAGCTTTTCGATCTTGTGTCGATACCTTGGCATGGAGCTGAGAAAACCATCATATGTTTTCTCTTCCGAGTCTCGGAAGGCACTCAGTTGCTCGTAGACCTGTTGGCATGAGGCAGTCTCCGATTCCAGTTTGGAGTTGTTTTCTTGAAAGGAGACAATCTTCTCGGCAAGGCTGTGACGGGCCAAGCGCAGCGTCTTGTTGGACTGGCGCAAATGCTCAATGGTATCCCGATTCTCTTGGACTTTATGGCCCAACTCCATGTTGGCCAATGCCCGGAGAGCGGCTTCCTTTTCGGATGGCAATCCAAGCTTGGTTCGTTGCTCTTGACGAAAACGAGCCTTGCGCTCAACCTTGTCCTGTTCTACGGCCAAGAGTTCAGTTTCTTCGTCTTTGCTCGACTGCTTGAGCTTGCCTTCGAGCTCTGCGATTCGCCGTTGGAGGGCTTGGATGTCGTCATCTTGTTCAAACATGTTGTCTTCTTCAGATTCGATCTTTGGGGCGCGTGAGAGAGAAGGACAATGTGGAGGTGCTGTTGGAGGTGCTGTTGTCTTCAATGTGAAAGAGTGGGTATCCTGTTTGCAGTCTGTCTTTTTGTACGAATCCTGATCCGAAGCCTCCTCTTGCCCGTCCAGAGAAGCATGGGGAGGCCTGCAGACGGCAGTGTAATTTGAAGGTGGGATTGCCTTTGCAAGTTTCTCTATAGGCGTGACTGAGGGTTCAACCTGGGGTGAGACATCGGATTCTCCTGGCTTGTTGGCGTTGGTAGTCGTGATTTGCGATCCACCATCAGATCTCATCGAGAGTGGTTTGCTGTTTGCTGGTTTCTTGAGGACCTTGTCTACATGCTTATGATGATCAGTGAGTGAGACGTGGTTGGGAGGCGAGGAAGAGGAAGTACTGTTACATGTGATAGTCTGCGTGGTTGCCACCGTTGTTTCGGGTTCTGTACATTGAGGTTTCGACAAGTGGATGGTATTACATGTATTGGTTGCTTTCACCAAAAGCGAAACTTGTCGTAGCTTCTTGGTTCCCCCGTTCGCTTTGGGGCGAGGTGAGAAGCTCATAGTGTGACGCCGAACCCGCCCTGTGGTTGCGCAGACTTTGGATCCAGGAACAGATGTGCGGCCGAGCAAGTCTTTATCGTGTCCATTTTCTCTGTTCTTGGCAATGGTTTGCTCAAAGCATCCAACAAGGGAACCAAGCTTAGAAGGGCGTCGGGTTGTCATCGGGCTTTGAAATACCTGACAGATTGACTGAAATGGTTATTTGGTGGGAATATTATGGTAAAAGCTTGGGGAGAGCCGAAAAGAAACAACAAGAAAATGTGAGTGGGTTGCAGCGCTACGGTGGTACCGCTGCGGTCAATAACAAGTGTTCCTTTTCGTTAATTAGGAAAGGGGACTGAAGGTCTTGGAAAATCGTTAATGACAGTATTTGTGCCTTCCTACCGTTATGTACCAAAACACTAGGTGATCCCAGTGTAATTAAAAGAGTACATGGCGAGGCACTCCAGTCTCCAGTCATTACAGTAACACAGTACGATGTACTCAGTAGAACTCAGTGACACCTCTATTATCTAGCAAGATCTCACATTTTGGCATCAGTTGCCGTGCTCCGGAAGTCGGAAGTTGAAACCGCATCAGTAAGCGCTACACAAAATACAGAATCTTCCTTCCAAGTTTATGTCCAATGTCTCGGGCTGCATGGCCTCGATTGGAACAATGCAGAAGTGACAGGCTGCCGATTCGTTTCGCTGAAAGCATGAATGGGATGCCTTATCCGCATCGAGTTCCATTGGAACAGTAATATCGTTTTCGGTCGCAGCAATACATGTACTAGAAGTGGCTAACCGCATCTTCCCAACTTTAGCTACATTGTACCCATGCCACCCCAGCATGCGCTGCACAGGCCGGTATTGCTGCGCGAAAGCATTTTAAAATTTCGTGGGCGTGCAAAGAGTGACCGAGTCGAGTCGAGTCGATTGACAGTCGAGTGTCTCAGTCGATCGAGTCGAGTGACAGTTGGATTGAATCATTCGACTCGATTCGATTGAATCGAAAAACTGAATCGATCGATTCGAATGTTCGAACGGAGGTCGCTCCGCAGCTGCATGGGCAATCATCGATTCTCCGCAGCTCGAGCCTCAACAAAACACCATCATCGTCGAAAGTAAGCATCAGACAACAACAATAACCCAGCGTCTAGCTCTGAGAGGACCAGGAAGTGTCTTGTTGGGTGCTGTTTGGTTGTATAGAGCATGCAATCAGTGCTCATCAGTGGCTCAGTCTCATCTCATCACATGTCGTTTTCATCTGGCAGAATCTGTCATCTGAAAATTGGGGTGGAAAAATGGGATGTCACCATGATGAGCTCACTTTTTTGTTCAACCGGATTGCTAGAGTTGCATACCCAACCGAACAAGGAAGATTTGCGATTGTTGATAAGCCTAGGCCAGATCAACCCCCCTACTTTCAATTACCTTTCTATCAATCTTCTATTCAATACCTATCAATTGCAAAATGAAGTTCTCTTCTTCTATCATGAAGCTGCTCTCGTGGTCCTGGACCACCGACAACAACACCAGCAACACCACGAAGACCCCCGTTCTCCAGGTCGCCAAGGATATGACGGGCAACAACAACAACAAGGATGTTCCTGCGGCAGAGGAAGTCCCAACGTTCCAACTGGACGAGTTGGACAAGTCGGTCATCGAGACCGCGGCACTGTTGCACGGAAAGCATCCTGATGTGGAATTCCAGCAGCACGGTCGCTACCTAGGTGCCTACGACCTTTCCCTGGTTCCTGCGGATCAGCATGGTCACTATGGATACGACAAATACAACCAGCACCGGCCCAAAGGCTGTCGCATCCAACCCAGTCAATCTGCCAACACTCGCTGGAAGACCCATTACGGTCAAGACACCGAACGGAGCAATGGAAACCGTTTATCCTTTGCTCCCGTCAACACTCTAGTGGGGTACTCTTCTGGCACGAGTGAACAAAAAGAAAAATCCGATGCCTATGGAGACGTGAAGAAACAAGAGCCACAGGCCCGATATGAATTCTGGCACGAAGCCCAACAACAATTCATTTCCGTCGGCACACCCACACCCCACGAACGCGTCTTGGATCTCGTGCAGTTGATTCAAGAATACGGATACCAACAAGTGGCCAAATGGATCACCAACAACCAATGGTTCCAAAGTGACAAAGCATACCTAAAACAAGCCAAACTGTACATTCAAATTGATGCCGTGCATCAAGACCTCGAGGCGCTTGTCAAATTCATCCAGGCGAAGAAAGGAAACGACAAGCAAGTTGCCCACTGGTTCATGGTCAACGAAAAGAACACTTACATGTTCGAACTCGCCATGTGCCACTTGCATCACGGTGGTATTCAGCGCAATGCTGACGACGAAATTTGCACCTTGAATACGCGAGAACAGATTGCCAAACGACGATTTGTCTATCGCAAGGTCAAGGATGTCTGCATGGAAGATGCAGCACCCATAGTAGTAGAACAACAACCAACAACAACTAAAGACGTCGAGGCAATAGAACAAGTCTCGACCGTCGACGACAACAAGATGGCATCCGATGCCACAGTTACAGGCGCAGCAGTGGTGGTTCCCACATGCGCAGCAGTGGTGGTTCCCACATGCACAGCAGTGGTCCCATACGTTCAAAAGTGGCACGTGAAACACTTCAAGATCAGTGTGCATGGACAGCAACCATTTGTATTGGAGATGCGAATGATGAATGGTGTGCTACTTGGAGTGGTACCCAACGACATTCTCACAGCATTGATGAAGGATGGTGGAGACCTTGTCAAGGAATTGATGCGGCAGCACAACACACTACAATTGGAGGCAGGCGCTGCCTCGGACGAATTGGAGTACGAATTCGTGACTGGCCAAGTGGTAGCTGAAGAACCCCTGGACGGGGTTGAGGAACAACAACGAGTTGATGCTGAAGAACCACTGGTCGACAACCGAGTCGATGAGGAGGACAACGTGGGCACAGTACAATCAACACTTCGGCGTTCAAAGAGACGCATGGTGGCGATTGCATTACAGAGAATTGCAGAACAAATCAAGACAAAGCCCCGGCGATTGGCAGACCAACCTAGAATTAATCGTAGATGCGCGGTGGCCAGGAAGTCAACAAAGCCAAATACGAAGGGCAAGAAAAAGTCGAAAAAGCCAAAGGCGAAGTGCAAGATGACGACGACACGACCTGTGACGGACACACAGCAGCAAACAACAGTTCAGACGACAACAAGTCGTTCTGGACGGCGAGTACGAAAGCCTGACCGGTACATTCCAGTCTAGGACAACAGGTAAGTGGGGCGGCCACCACGGATTGCGGGGACTACTAACACATTAATATAATACACAAAGAGCAAGCATCTGGTGGGATGCAGGGCTATACAACAATTTTGCGGAGATGAATACAGTTGGTTCAAATGAAGGGTCACATACAAGGTAGCCAGGTTTGTGGTTCCTGTGCTAGGCAGCCTCTATTGCAGAGTGCTTGCCCGAACGTCCTCCACGCGACGAAAGTCCAAAGTTAATACCTGTGACACCTGAAAACCAACCTCTATCATTGTTGATGCTATGCTTCGATACCCTTCGGGACGGGGGAAACAATCTGGGGAAACCAATACAACTTTACATAAACCTAGAACAATAACACATAGTAGATAATCTTCACAACAACAAAAATCAGGTCTTCCTTCAGTATAGTAGTTGTAGTGCCACTTCCAAGTGGCTAACGTGGTTGCAACGGAAGATCCAGCACTCAGAGGAAGCTCAGCAGTACCGCAAGCAATTCCGCGATTCATCGTACTGGTACCAGATATCGGTATCCAAAAGACGTGACTCTGTACAGGGAACTCGCTGCAATCAAGAGAACTACCGTACTCCGAAGCGGAAGGCAAAAACAAAACGGTTTCGTAAATCTTTGTTGTTTACTAGTCTATCTATTGCATCATAGTCGTTTCCGACCCAGCAGCGGTAGTACGCAACAAGCAAGGCATCCTGTGGTTGAATGGGGGAGTGGGCAGGGGGCAACTCCCACGTCACCAATCCAAGGAACAGTTCTAAGCGAGGCTCAGGTCTGAAAACCTCTCTCGCAACTGGATAACCTTCCCATGGGCGCCCCACTCTCTGTAACAGCGGATCGCCTCGCCAATCCGGAACTCTGCCTCTTGTGTATCAGAGTTGACCATGTACTCGCCATACCGTTCATGGGCCAAAGCTGTATCCTGAATATACCCCCTTGACAAGGAGATGGCAATTTTGTAATGAGCGCACGCCATATGCGATTTCCCTTGGCAAGCTGCAAGTTCAGCTTCAAGGAGCGCCTCGTAGTGCCTCAAGTTCGGATTCCCCTTTCGAACCCATTTCTTAATGAGAGCCAAAGACTTCTTTGCGTGCTTCAAGTAGCGGCGCTTTTTCGTCCGCCGAGCCATGACAAACAACGAGAGTCCTCTGTAGTACGTGTCCATTGGTACCAAGATTGAACCCGGATAAGCATTGCTTATTTGAGGACCGCCATCAAACGACATGCTCGCTCCTTTCTCGTGCAATCCGAACATGGCGTAGAGCTGCGCCGCGTATCCGCGAAGTAGCGCCAATTGAAAAGGAACTGCGCTGCTTCGAAAGTTCTCTTCATCCATTGCCTCGCCAGTGAGGATGCCAGGATCAGCCGAACGTCCCATCAAGTTGAGAGCAACCTGGGATCCGGAGTTTGGGCGACAAAAGCTGCTTCCTGAGGACAAAAGAGACGCATCGCATTGCAAAACGCACCACTCAGCTCATTGCTCGTACCTGCCAAACAACGCCGCAGTTGCCAAGGGTGAACATTCGTTTATACTGGCGCATCTGCGAACAGTAAGTGCGACAATCGGCTTCCAATGATTCCAGCGGGCGACCGGTTTGCAAGGCTGTCCCAAGATAAGCAAAGATCGAGTACATGGCATATTCAATCTCTCCAGACGCCATCCCTGTTTCATAACCCCCTTTAATTAAAGGCTCCAGAACTTGGTGGGAGTGTTTCGTCCAATGCAAAATGAACGTGTACACTACCATGGTACATTGTGATTCCAGCCTTTTTGAAGGGTACGCTTCGATTACGCGGATTGCATGTTCCCCATAGACCGAACCACGCTTGAAATCGCCAACAAGAGCGCTGAGAACAAGCCCAGCACAACCAAATGCATGCGATGCCGTCTCGCATATGCCATAGCGATCTGTCCATTCCACTTCTCGAAGCACAACCAACACGTACAAACTCCAGTCTGCCATCAAATACGAATACGTGGCGAGCTTCTCCAAGAGGCCGATCATCTCGATCCTCAAAGGATCTGTCATGGTTTTCGACCTTGACAGTCTCAGTTGAGTGCGGGCGCTCATGGACTTCTTCAGTTTTCGCAGTCCCAATTTTGCCTGAATTGCTCGGAGTAGTGGGTGTTTGACAAACTCACAACCCAAGTTGTGAAGCACGTCTTGACACAGAAGATGAGCATCCGGCAAACGGCCTCGGTTTGCAAAGCTGTCAAGCAACACGTTGTAGACCCTTAACTTTTGTGAAAGATGACAGCCTTTTTGAGCAAGCACGACATCACAATTCTCTTGCATGGTTTCCAGGTGACCAAGATATCCCGATGTTTCTGCGGCTGTCGAATACAGTTGAAGAGTCACTTCAAAATCGGTGACCCAACTGTTGCTCGGCAGAAATCGAATGCCATCCAAAGCGTATTTTTCTGCACTGGAAATGGCCGATAGATCAACAGCCCGCTCTGCCGCTTGTAGATTGAGCCTTGCGAGACGAGCGCACTCGTCCGCGTCCTGGGGCTTTGGTCCTTGATTCATAAGCTTGACAGCAGTGAATATATTGGATTCGTAGTCTCTTCCCTGCAAGTTCGAGATCAGCGCCTCCCCAATACTCGATTGCAACGAGCTCAGACTGTCTGGCGGTACGAGAGAAAATGCCATCGATTGAAGTTGGTCGTGCGTCCAGCGAAGATCTTCTGATTTCTCTCCGACTTTATCCAAGAAACCTTCGTCCATTGCATAAGCGAGAATTTCATAGAGCGATGTCTTTTTATCCTCTGGTACGTCCTCGATGTTGTTCCAAACAGCTAGCAGTGCCGTCCTGCAGATTGTGGCCCCTAGACAAGCCGCAATGACAAAGAATGTTCTGACTATTTCTGGCAGTTCCTCCATCTGTCGCGTCATCAAATCGACAATATTCCCGGCAATTTGTGTTCTGGCCTCGATTTCCGATTCATCCCAATGCCATTTCATCAATCCCAAATTGAATTGTAGCAGTGAATTATCGTGTAACAACTTGAGGAATGCTTTCAGAAAGAATGGATTCCCCAGTGTCTTTTTATGACAAATGCGAGCCAAACTCAGAGCTTCGGTCCCTGATACGGAAAGTAAATCCACCAGCATCTCGTCGACTTGCCCGAGGGTAAGATTGCCGAGGTTGATTTCAGTAACGTGGATACTCTCAAAGTTTTCGTCCCGTTTCTCGTCTTCCTTGTCATGGTTCTTGCTGCTAAGATTTCGCAGGATTGTTGTACTGAGGATGTGATCCTCGTCTACTTCGTTGGAGCGAAAACACCCAATGGGTAGCAAGGTTTGGTTCTCTTTATCGGTGAGAATCACTTCAAATAGCTCGAGAGACGCCATGTCTATCCATTGGAGGTCATCCAGTACAAATACAACGCCCGAGAAGAATGTTCCCACAGTTCTTAGAAACTTTCGAAAGGCAAAATTGAATCGATTCTTTCTGGCTTCACCTCCTGCTTTTCGGGTTCTTTGACAACGTGGAGGATGGTCCATGCTGCGGCCACTGTCAATGGTCTTGTCATCCGCATCGTGGTGGTGTGAGATGGTGGAATCCACACTACTGCTGGTACTAGTATTAGTACCGGTACTCCCAGGAGCCATTTGACATCCCAAAATTTCTTCCAGAATGGGAAAGGTTCTGACCAATATCTGCACTTGATCCGGTGCTAGCTCCTTCAGTAATGTGTCGCGCACTCGTTGGCAAAAGGACGGATTCTGATTGTTGTTGTTGTTGTTGTTGTTGTTGTGTTGCTCATTACCACTTTGCTCCAGTATTACCCCACAGAGCTCCCCACAAGCAGCTGCAATGGCAGAGTACGGTTCATTGTTGTTGTTTTGTTGATTGTTCATGTCAAATTTGCCACTCATGTAGACGGCGCCTCGCTTTTTGGCAGCGTCTTTCAGCGCATCGTCGACGAGCCGACTTTTTCCACATCCACTCATTCCCTTGACGAGGACCAACTCTCGCTTGTTTGTCGTCTGATTTTGATTATTGGCCTCCAACACTCGCCCCATACATGCCAGGAGTGTTTGAATCTCCGAGTCTCTCCCATAGAGCCCCAGTGTCCAAAACTGCAGTTTGTTGACGGTAAACTCATCCTTGAGTATCTGCGCCAGCTGCAGCGACGAATCTCGTCGAAGAGATTTGGCCTTGACCAGTGTCCTTTGCAGTTCGAATTGAATACTGTTCCGACTTTTGCTACTGCGACGAAGACTGCTGCTGGGATGCGACTCTACTAGCTGCTGGGAAGATGGATAAAGCTCACCACTTTGAGCAGATAGATACCCCAAACTGGTATTGGACGGACCGCCGTCGGTGTCGGAACTCCCATTCTCCACCACACTATAGCTGCACTCGTGTAGCAAACGTTGCCGCTCATCGTCATCGTCATCGGAACAGCAGGACTCTGCGCTGGAACCAGACGTTCGAAAATTAGTAGTAGTGGGACTTTGTTCTGGACGTTGCCGTCGATGCCGCCGACGGAAATTCGTCAGGATGCTGCCATTGGATGCAGAGAGGGAAGGAGAGACGGAATCCGAAGTCAGAGAGCGGGACAGCAAGGGCTGCTTCTTCTGCTCGCCATTCTCCGACACAACCCCGTTAGAGTCATCCATTCTCGCCAGCTTGCCAGCTAGCTAGCTCTAGATGGTCAGCTAGAAAACTAACTTTACTACCGTAGTGTAGGAGAAAGGAAAAGTGCTATGCGTGGCCTTGGACCATCGTGTGGTCTCTCCAATCCAGGTGCTGCACGTGTTGGCGAAGGATGTGTTCAACTCTTTTCTTTCTTCTTCGCTCTCTTGCAAGTCTGACTTTCCTGCTCGTGATCGATTTGTGAATTTTTGTGATGCGGTGTGGGGCTGTTGGCTGCTGTGGTGGACGGTGGACCCAGTCAGCTTTGAAACAGGTGACAGGTCCTGAATGTAAAATGACCGCTTTCAGGTGGGAACTGGAAGATTTACGAGGATGTCGACACGCTACGGTGACCCTGTCACCTCCAACATGAGCAGCATGAGCCAAGCATAGACTGGAGTAGAGATCTTAATTTATTTTAAGACAGCAACCACGCAACCACTGCGTGGTACTATTACAATCAGCACCACCACAACCACTGCAGCCTCCGCTATTGCTATAACGTTTACCATGAATACTGCTACTAATGATAATAAAACTGCAAAGGACAATAAGAAGCAGACGATGTCTCCTCCCTTCAATTCTCTTCTGTTTGCTGACGATTTGATTTGGAGTGGCCAGATTCTATCTTTTGTCGGTGTCGGACAGTATGCTTTCGTAGGAGCTGTCAACAAGAAGATGCATCAACTGTACAAAGACTACTGCAAAATTGAACTCAGGAATAATCCAAAAAAGGTAAAGGATTATAACATTTACTATAACCCTGACAGTCGCTCTGCAGAAATCACCGACACTCTTTACAGCGAAACATTCTGTATCGTGCCGCGCGCAGAAATCTGGCGCAACGACACTTCCAGCAACAAAACACCTGATCGTGATCAAGTTTGCAATGCAATTGCCAGAATTGGAAACATTACTGGCATGCAGTGGGCACGCCAACAAGGATTCCCATGGAATGAACAGACATGCAGGCTTGCTGCTAGCAATGGACATTTGGAAATGCTCCAATGGCTGTATGAAAATGGTTGTTCATGGAATGTTCAAACATGTGCACTTGCTGCTCAAAATGGACATTTGGATGTTTTAAAGTGGGCTCGTGAAAATGGTTGTCCATGGAATGAAACGACATGCAACTGTGCTGCGTATGGTGGACATTTGGAACTTCTAAAGTGGGCTCGTGAAAATGGTTGTCCATGGAATGAAACGACATGTAGCTGTGCTGCGTATGGTGGACATTTGGAACTTCTAAAGTGGACTGGTGCGAATGGTTGTCCATGGGATGAAGAGACATGCGAGGGGGCTGCTCAGAAGGGACATTTGGAAATTCTGATTTGGTTACGGCAGAATGGTTGTCCATGGGATCATTCGACATGTTCCTATGCTGCCCAAGGTGGACATTTGGATACTCTTAAATGGGCTCATGCGAATGGTTGTCCATGGAGTGAAGATACATGTAGCCGTGCTGCTGAAGTTGGACATTTGGAAATTCTGATTTGGTTACGGCAGAATGGTTGTCCATGGGATCATTCGACATGTTCCGATGCTGCCCAAGGTGGACATTTGGATACTCTTAAGTGGGCTCGTGCAAATGGTGGTCCATGGAATGAACGTACATGTACTAAGGCTGCTGAAAATGACCATTTAGAAACTTTGCAGTGGGCTCTTGCAAATGGTTGTCCATGGGATGAAGAGACATTTCGAGCTGCCAGAGTATATGGATTCGACAACACCGAAGCGATCCAGTGGCTACGCAACAATGGCTACCCTGGGGTCTGGTAATGAATAAGGGATAGTTGTAATTTTTAAAAAGGGAGGTTAAGGGAGAATTGGCCAAACCAAACTAACTGTCGGAAGGTCGGGTACCGTGTACCGTGCCGGATGACATCGATAGCATCGTGGCTTCGTTGGGTTGGGCTATTTGTGGTTTGTGGATTCTTTGCTGGCAGCAGGGTGCGGTCCCGGCCTTCTGGACCTTTTGAAAGACTGATAATCAAGAGTAGCTTGCTTTGGCTTGCTTGCTGTCGAACTGTACATGTAGCGAGACGACTACAATAGTGGAGGGACTGGGGTTGGTACCGGTACACGTGTACGTACAGTGCTGTACTGGTACTCGTGCTCTTACCTGTATGGTAGGTTTGCACGCTTCATTTTTTGCAAGAGCACAAGTCAGCTTTGAAACATAAGAAGCTATAGATTTGACTGGGGAACTAGCTAGCTACTGGATCGTGAGATAGGTCAACTCTGTGTCGCCCTTGTACTTGATGTAAGACGATTTCACAGAGTACCCCATGGACACTACGAGCTGTTTCGCAGTCTTCGACAGAAAGTCATTTCGCAGGGAAGTCTTCTGGCTTGCAAGCGACTGGCCACTCCAAAGCGTTGCTGGAGCCTCGAGTGACAGGAGAAAACTTACTGGCTTACCCTCACCACCGTCTTTGAGGAGCTTCGCTCGACCCTCCCAGGCAAATCCATTGATCAGGAAGAGTTTCACGAGTTGGATCAGGGCAGCATGAACCTGATCAACTCCTGGACGAGATTCAGTTGTCGCCGGAGAGGCTTCTTGCAGGGCAATTGGAGTGCCTCGATAGGTATCACGAAGATAATCCAAGATGGAGGTTCCGACTCGTTGGTCGTACGTCTTGACGAGTTGGTCGACGACTTTGTGGGGTTTGGGAGGCAATCCATCCGGCATTTGGGATGCATCTGGCTGCATTTCTTCAAAGTCCAATTCAGGATCTTGAAGGGCACGATTGAATATGTTGTATTGAACGCTACTCATGAAGTCAAAGTACTTTGGGTCGGTCAAGTCTCCCTGCTTGACTCCCTTCACTTTTTGAATGTATGGTTCGTACGCGGCCGTGCGCAACAGGTACATGTCACGTTCCAATTGGTTGATGGGAATAATGTCCAACTGATCCGTCTCTACATACGAGCTCCTTGTCAAAAGAACAGCAAAGTCCAATGCCAGAGGCTGCCTCTGGATCTTGTCACTACCGTTGTCTGAAACCTTCATCATTTTGGATTTCATGCGATCCACTTCTGCATCCTTCAGCAGAGGCACAGCATTTGAGATTTGAGGAAGGAATGTTGTGGCTGCATTGACAGAAGACACGGCAAAGAAATTTCGACGCGACAAAGTTGTCATTGGTGGCTGCAGGGCATTGACTCCCAATGATGCCAGGAGTGGGATCATCATCAAGCCACAACGAAACTCAATCTGTGGCAGGCCCATTGTCATCTAATCGGACGTTCTGTTTTGCTTTTAATTTCCGGCTGGGATATTTTGTGAGTCCAGGCTGATGGGAAAGAGATGTGATGGTGCTTGCCCATGGTTGCCTTCTTCTAGTTGCCAAGGAAGCCGTCCAGCTTCTTCAATTGCCATAAATGTTTGATGTGTTGCCACGTCCACGCCGTGAGCATCGTTCAAGATTTGAGGAGTGAAAAGACAGCACAGCTGTCAAAGAGCCAAAACATGGAGTTCAGAGGCAACCAAGATTTCAATGAGGGGTCCACCGAGTTTTGTATCTTTGGTGCCAAAGAAGAAGAATTCAATCTGGCTGCCCATTGCTGGAGGGAAAAGTCGAACTATCGCTCTTAGACTAGCTCTTTTAGGGGATATATTGTTTACTTCTAGCACTACAGTATGTTACAGCAACACAGGTCGGGGCTCAGCGATTCTGGCAGAAGCGGCCTTCCCAGATCCCGTTCGTGGACTAGGAATTCAATGACCTCAATGGCGTACGCTTTTGGATTTATCCAATCCCAGTCCCTGTACACTCGTTCGTCGGATTCGTCAAACGCTACATCTTTCGAAGTCTTGCTGTTGTCGTCTTGAAAATTGCCAATCTCGTGTTGAGATGCAGCATTGACATCTTTCGGAGGAATGAACGGAGGCTTCTTGCGATCCGTTTTGACCATTTCCCAATCCACTGACTTGAACCAAGGATGGGCCATTATTTCCGTGCTCCCGCCATGAGCACCAAGTCTCGCCGTGGGATCTTTATCAAACAGGCGACGACAAAGGTCAGCCGCATCGGGAGGAAACACCTCGGGGTTGAGCTCAGGCTCCCATTCGCGGATGGCTATGTCAATCGCCTTGTGCTATAGCCACGCAAACCAGAATGGGGAAGAAGTGAGACGACACCGCTGGGTGGAGTAAAGAGAAACATCGACAACTTACTTTGTCCTTTTCTCCACGTTCGACGCCGTACTTATATGCGGCTTCCGAACGGAAGGGGTTCTTCCCCGAAATAAACTCGGCAAGGCAACAACCGAAGCTGAACCAATCTACGACATGATTGTACGGAACACGTTTCCCAGAGCCATCGCGTTTATGCATTTCGGGCGCCCAATAACCCCGGGTTCCAACCACGCCCGAGGGAAGATGAGGTGTGGTTCTTGTCGCTAACCCCAGATCCGTGAGTTTCACTCGACCGTCTTCTGCCAACAAGCAGTTCTCCGGTTTCAGATCTCTGTACACATAATGTTTGTCGTGTAAAGCTTGCAGACCCAGCATAATGCGAGCAGCATAGTACAAGCACTGATTCTGCGAGAACCGCCTCCTTTGATGCAAATGAAAACCCAAATCACCTCCAGCCATCAAATCTATGACAAGATAAACTTCGTCATCTGAATGCAGTGAGTATTTCAAGTTGATGATAAAGGGACTTTCGGAAACCGCTGCCAACGCTTTGCGCTCATTCATGACAAACTGAACTGATTTCTTCATCTTGATACGCTTTTTGCTCATAACTTTCATGGCATACAGCTTGCCCGTCGTGCCCTTTTGGCAGGCTGGAGATTCGATTCAAGTATGCATCAAGCATTCAAACAATTGTGAGCAAACTCAACTTCTATTCCAAGGAGCTTCTGAAATACATGACAAAATTCCAACCGACTCGATTCGACTCACCGCTGACCAATCCAAATCCACCTCTTCCCAAAACCCTCATGACATAAAAATCATCGTGGATGACTCTGCGATCTTGGTACCAGAGGAAATTTCTCATTCTCATGTAGGGTTGCGAATTTGCCTGAAATAATGCATCGTAATCACGTTTCAAGCTCTCGTATATGAGTACCTCCACCTTGTGCATGACTGGCAACAGTCCTGCTATCAAGTTGCCATTGCTTTTTGTTTGCTTGCTGCCACTGCTGGTTTTATTTGTTGGCGTTGCCTCTGTGTCATCCGTCTTTCCTCGTTTCAGCACGGCACGTGGAATACTGCTGCTTGACGCGGATGCTCCAACATCCAAAGCTTTGGCCGCATCGGCCACCAGATCCTGCACGGGCGCTGCATTCTCGTCGCTATTATTAGTATTGTTGTTGTTGCTGGTCCTCAGTGGTTCCGACTCGGCCTTGTGCATGGATGTTAGGTTGTTGTTGACTTGTTCCAACCATTCGACCAAGGCGCCCTTGAATTCTTTCAACAGAGGACCCTTGAGCCCTACTAGGTTGGTTTGATAGTTGTCGTCGTGATTTATCGTCAGAGCCGCTTCCAATTCGGCCTGTGTTTCAAATCCCATCCGTCTCGTGGCACTACACCGGGGCATGTGCAAGTCGGGTTCTCGAATGTGCGTCATTTTGGGTAAGACTGGACCATCTTCTTCTCCACTATTTTTCTTGGGAGGATGTATATAGTCTAGCAATAGCTCGACGTAGAGTTGGACCTGTTTGGGTCGGTTGCCATCCGATGGCGGTCGGGCCGTCTTGGCGACCCTTTGAAAGCGCAGCATGTCTTCGAGAAAGTTCATTCGAATATACGCCAGTTCATCGGCTTTGGTCGACGTCATTCGCGCCGGAGTCACGGGGATACCGCTGCTCTCGGCCTCGGTGTTGGAAGATTGTTGTTGTTCCTGGTCCGAAGAATTCTTGCTATTATTATTGGCAGTACTATTCTTGGTAGCATACGCGTGTTGATCTTTGACATAGGAGGAGAAAAAGTAAAAGCCAATGGGACAGGATGCGTACCAATCCAGAGTGAGAGGTTCTACCGATGCCAAGTCATCTTTCCCACTATCCTCTTCCGATGACTGTGGTTGGCAAGTCAATGTCTTTCGCGTTCGCACACGACCTTCCCATTCCTGAAGCTGATCGGTGGTGGGTACCTCCCACCGAACGATTGGCTTGGGTCCATCGCGGATCGATGCCACGGCATCCAGGTATTGAGAGTCTTCTAATGCGTCCCAGAATTCCATGACTGATTAACTGACTGATGGATGGCCAAGGATAGGCTGTTTGTTCTTGATGTAGATAAAAGTAAGACAGCTAAGGAGGCGATGACTGACCCTCTCTGATCTTAGCTTCGAGGCAAATCCAAAAGTTCTATCTGTAGACCATGATCCCGTGAAAGATTTGACCTCGTCTTCAGTCTGCTTCTTTGCTGGTTGGTTGCTAGACTAGTACTCAATATACTACTAGTAGCAATCTTGTGTCTGCTTGGTGATGAATGAATGAGTGATTGAAGACTTCACAAAGACTTCACAACCTTCAGGACAGGTTGTGCTGTACCCTTTTAACTGGTCGGTCACCTCTCTTCCAAGCGATTATCACAAGGAATCGAATCGAATCGATCAAACCCTGATGGGAGGTCGTGTGTGTATTGCAGAGGCTGCTGGGATGAAATTGGATGCAATGGACACAGTGGCGACTCGACATAGACTCACTCCAATCAAAGTAAAGTTGTTCTCCTTTCTGTGCAGCCTTGCAAACGATTGCTGATGTCTCTTTTTGTGATCGTGCTCTGCTGTGTCTTGTTGGCAATTGGTCGCAGAAATTTCGAGGGTTTGAAGATTGAAAATTCGTCAAGCAAAGAGAATGGTCTTTAATGCTCAACAGGACAGTCAATCTTTACGACTGCTATTAAATAATTGATTTAGCAATTGACATAAGGGCCATCTCTCTTATCTCTTTCAAGCTTGCAAGGACCAAGGTCCACATGGTTACCGATTGGCACCAGGACGAGGTGTGGATGCAAGCGCATGGGGAGCTTGGTGCCTCTTTTTCTGGAATGATTGTGGATGTAATCTGGGTCCTCCAATTCTGGCACCAGTCCATTGCTGGCAGTATCATTACCCCTACCGGTAGCTACGGTACCGGTGGAGAGGGACAGAGAGCTTTACCCTCAGATAGGATGTTCAGGAGCAAAAGTAGCTATGGGCGGATGCCAAGAGGACCAAAACGATAGCACAGCCAGCAGGTAGGTGTCCATGCTGGTTGACCCCAGCAGCGCATTGGTGGCACCTGAAAAGGGAGCCGACAATCCAGCCAACCACCGATGTATAGTTCGACATGATGGACACTCACCTCAGCCATCCTCTGGCACCACTGTTACATTTACAGCCGGGCCTTTCATGCATGACCATGAAATAAGCAATCTTACTCCATGTAGCACCATTCTCGCTAGCGTACTGGTACTGATATTCAGAGTTTCCATTGTGGCAAGTGTGGTTGGTTGCATCCATGTTGGGACTGGTGCTCGCTTCTTATCAATAATTGTCGGCATCAGTTTTCTGTAGTCACGGATAACGCGTGACTCAAACTCGACGAAAGGTCGAAGAGCACTCGAGATCCTCTCTTCCATCCTTCGGCTCCCTTTCCTTCGAATTGAAGATTCAATGGCATAGTATGTCGTACTACTCTGACTTGTCAGCTGACAGCAGCAGCGGGGATGATGAAAGTGACAACGATTTCCACTTGGGAATGCCAAAGGAACGACAAGAACAACAAAGCTTTTCTACTGCAAATGATACTACTAGTAGAATGAAGGAGACGCCTTTGAACTCTGTGATTGTTCATTTGGACATTGATTGTTTCTACTGTCAGTGCGAGCACTTGGATCGTAAACTCCCACCATCTCGTCCCTTGGCCATTGGACAGAAGCACATTATTGTGACGAGCAACTATGCCGCACGAAAATTAGGTGTCAAGAAACTGCAAGGACGAGAGGATGCCTACAAAGCGTGTCCCAGTCTCTTGATTGTCGAAGGCAGCGACCTCGAACGATATCGAAGACACGGACGCAAAGTATATGACTCTTTTCGAGCTTGTCTCAAGCAGATGAGTCTAGACTGTGCCGTCAGTCGAGGACGAGGCATGGATGAAATGCAGGCGGATGTCACCAGTCTCGTCGACACCATCATCAGTCGAACTACATGTATTATGGAGGAGACCGAACACGACAACAACCAAGGCAAACCAGTCTACATTTATGGAGACCAACAGGAGACAGCAACATTGACAGAAGATCAAACTGGAGCAGAAGCTATTGTGCAGCCCTACTCTTCTCAATTAGATGACTGTCAATCATTACTTGACGATACGAGCAGTCGTCGTCATTGTCAAGAACGACTCCTTAAAGCCGCCTCCAACATTGGCCGTGTTGTGCGACAAACCATCTTGAAAGAGACTGGATTCACTACGTCACTGGGATTCTCCATCAATCCACTCTTGGCCAAACTGGCATCCGATTTACACAAACCACAATCCGTCAATGTCTTGTATCCATGGAGATCGTCGCAATTGATATTGTCCATGCCCTTGAGGAAAATTCCAGATGCCGGATACAAAACGCTCAAATTGCTCCATCCTGCCTTGGAACGGTTCCATGGGACAACAGCCAGTGACAACAACAATCAAAACAACAAGACATCGTTTTGGACTTGTCGGTGAGTGTTTCTCGTTATTCTTCATGAGCACAACGGAAGGTATAGTTGCTTGCTGGTGGCTTACAGATGTGTCTCCGTTCCTTTCATTCTCAGTGATCTCTTGGAGTTGCCCCGGTCAGAAGTCACGCGTTGCCTGGAAAAGTACGTCTCTTTTGATGGCTTGCCTCAAATGGTTTCACTAATCATATCACTGGTCACTCACTTTTGGGCTTCCCTTTTTCGTATAATGCATTAGTGAGGAGCAGTGCAACATGCTTCTCCAACGATGTCAAGGAGTGGATACCGTGACAATTGACGATGACAATGGGGAACCACCCAAAACAGTCTCCGTGGAAAACTCGTTTCGTCGCGGTACCGTTACATCGCCCGAGGCCGTCTGGAAGGGCCTCGAAGAATTGTATGTGCGGCTCCCTTGTCTGCTAAAGGATCGAAGAGAATGGTCTCAACAGCCGCACAAGGCATACCCGACAACGCTCAAACTCACGGCACGCGTTGTCGATCGAAAACTATTGCTGCAACAACCGAATCGACGGCGGCGGCCATTTGTCACCCGCAGCAAGCAAGTGCCCTTTCGGGGACAAGAACTGATGCAAGAGACCAACCCGGATCGGCAAAAGATGCTCGTCCAAAATGCAGTGCAACCACTGGTACAATCCTTGGTCTTGAATCATAGTACTAATAACGGGGACTTGAACGTGACGAGACTCAACATTGCTGTCACAAAGTTCCAAGACATTGGAGCAGCAGAAACCACAGAGAGGATGTCTGCAAAGCAACAACAAAAGTCACCGAGGGGGACGCAACAACAACTCGGCAGCTACTCATTTAGCCAGTGTGCTGGTTCTCAGCAGTTCTCACAGTCTGAGAACGTTTCCAAAACACTACAGAGCAGTAAACACGTGACAATACCCAACAAGATGACGACGGCGACAAAACAGCCAAGACCGGTTCCATCTGTATCAGCACTGGAGCCTGCCCTGAAGAAACACAAAGCTGGTTCAAAGAACTCGGGCAGCCATTTGGCTAATGGCAGTGGGATTGACCCGGCAACCCTCGCAGAGCTGCCACCCCAAATGGCGAGGGAGATTGTAAGAGACTACAACACTGTTGTGCGCAGCAACACCAATAGACGCAGTACAAAGCCAACAACTACAAAGAAGAAGGCTAAGACAACCCGCATAGACCAATTCTTTAAAAGAAGATGATTTACACTTTTGTTACAATACCGTACATTAGACACATACATGATTCAATCAATAGCATATCAGTCCTTTCTAAAGATCCAATCTAAAGAAAGATGATCTGCATTGAATTGGGAGGAGGACGATGGGAGAAGAGGGAGGCTGTAGTTCTCGGGAACAGGTAGGGGGAGGATGAAAGGAAGAAGAGCCAGTCTAAAGAAAGATATGAAGGGAATGGTTCGATGTGGGAAAGAGCAAATCTGCAATCCCTCGATCACGACGCGGACTCTCCTCTTCACTTTCCGATGAATAACGGATGTAGGAGGAAGCCCTGCTATCACCATCGTCATCCACCGAGGAGTCGTCCCCTGTTTCCCAGCCTTCGTCGTCAAACGCCATTGCCGTGAGCTCTTCCACCAACGAGAAGTCTTTGCATTTCTTTTGCATAAAGTCCACGACGATATCAATGCGGTCTTCAAATAACAGTCGGTCCGTCTTCACTTGCCGTAGCTTTGGCTCCTTCTTTTCAATGGATTCTTCCGTGTCCAAGATGGACTTTTGATAGGTGCTGGCCAAGCGCATCAAATAATCATGCTCCGGGACGAGGAGATCCTTTTGTTGCTCTTGGAGCTCGGCGACAAATGCCTTTGTCTGTGCATTGCTCTCTTGCAGGAGTCGATTGTTGGAGCTAGTGCTGAGGACTTCTAGTTTCATCTTGCGATTCTGACTGTGAATACGAGCATTCCCTTGTTTCAATTGTCGAATAGTCAGTTTGCAATTGAGATACTTTGCGTTCAAGGCTTTCTCTTCTTCTTTTGTCAGATGAACGACGTTAATGGATGAAAAGGACATGTTCTTGGCAGACTCGGCATCGACTCGTTTCATCTTGCGTTCCTTGGCATCTTGGATGCGTTTCAAGTCGTATTGTTCTCCTTGCTGGACCTGCACCAGTTTGGCCTGCGAATCGGCAATTTGCTTTTGCAGGGCGGCAATTTCATTTCGCATGGCCAATTCCTCCGGGTCCAACAACGGCGGCGGGGCCGTTCGTTCTTTGAGCCGACGCTTACTCGTATTGGTCATGCTGCTACGGCGGCGAAGGGCGCGTGGCGGCGGTGGGCAGTGGTTGTTTGGCCCACCTGGGGTGGACAAGTTGCTCCTTTGGCTGGTATCCAGGGACCGGTTGGAGCTTTCCCGTCGAACACCACCTCCTTGTTTATTGACCAAGCTTTCCCGGTGACGTTTGATAACACTTTTGGTAAAGGGGACGGCCTTGAAGGGTTGTTGATGGTGCGCACTGCTGCAGCTGTCATCATCGTCCACGACCGAAGAACGGCGAATCCACGAAGGTTCCGATGATCCTTTGGAAGAAGAAAAGTGTTGTGCCAAAGAGTGAATGTTTTTGCTCTTGCTACTGCGACCAGAATCAGAGGAACGGTAGCTACTGTTTGGAGAATGATTCCCCGGCGATCTGCTGTTGTGGTTGCGCCTTCGAGACGAAGAATTGAGCTTGATGCGTTGTGACGACTCGTCCAGAGATGATTCCGAGACATCATCTCGGCGGGTTGGAGATAAGGAGGAACTGGATCCGTACAAAGCCGTTCGAGAACGCTGGTTTTGATGGCTCATAATGTCATAGCTTTCAGTGGATCCAATGGAGGAAAAGGAGTCGTCCGGATTTGGTTGCTCTTCCTGATTGCGATTGCTACCACCGCTTTGTCGGAACTTGTTGGAAGAGAAGCGACTGCGGCTGTTTGGTGGTAGTTGCTGTTGTTTCCTGGCACTGCTGTTGTGACTACTCCCACCACGAGATCCATAGGACGATTGGCGAAAGTCTGGTAGCTTGATCTGATCTCTGTGGGATTCCAGGGATGATCCACTCGTGACACTGGCATTGTCACCTCCCCGTGGCTTGAGACTTTTGATTTCCAGTTTGTTTAAATGCTCTGCCAACGACGAGATGGATCCTCGCTTCTTCTCGGCTTGTCTCTTGGCAAACGCATCGTTGATCTTCATTTTATTCTTGGAGAGATCTAGCTTTTCGTCCAATGGGTCGGAGCTGTGAATGGCTTCTCGATTCATGCTGATATCCATAGAAGGCTTGTTGGGTTCTGTATATTCAATGGTGATTTGGCCCTTGGCTTGGTGTTGTTCCTCCTTTAGCTGATCTAGTTTGGGAGTGTTGTTGATACTCTTGCTGGAAGATCTTCGTCCTTGGGATGACATGGACGGCCTTCTTCGCACAAAGCTCTCTTCATGATTGTTGTTGTTGTTGTTACAGCTGGAGCTGTTGTTTAGAGATGACAAACTTCCATCGTTGCTGTGACTGTTGCTGTTGCTACTGCTGCTCTCGGATAACTTGGTGCTGGCAAAGAGACGACGGGATACTGATGAGGAGCTGCCAGAGGATGTCTTGCGACCTAGAATGTTCTTGTCGACTCCCGCTTTGCGGTTGTTGGCAATGTTCTGCTCGAAGATCGATCGAGCTGATGCCAACCGGTTGCTCGTCATGGCTACGATGGTTGGTTCTACTATTGGTCTATTGGTCTTTGAAAGAAATATACTTCTATAGTGTCTTCTTTTGAAGCAAAAGTTCTTTGTGTTGGACTTCAATGGTTGACGATGATTTGAATGTCATTGAATGAGCGACCTTGTCGTGAACCAAAGAAGTGCGAGAAGTGAGCTTTCTTGCTTGGGTCTTGACTGGTATTTCTCTCAGTGCCTCTCTGGATCATTGTTTCTTGGGGTATCCTAACTAAAAGCTCTCCTAAATAAGGAAGTGGAACTTGTGGGGGGAGTATAGTTCCCGTGGTGTCGTGGACGTAATTCTTTGGGCTGTCTTGACGATGTCCTCTTTAAATCATTGACATTCCACTTCAACACAAGAATGTCAATAGTCATTCTTCATTGATACAAGTTCTCCCTGAACCGAGATTCCGACCTTTACAGTTCTTGCGCGAATAAACCGAGCGCAGTGAAGGTGAAGTGTGAAGAAGCAGCCACTATTATTTTGATCTGTTTGTTTGACGAAGATCTCGAGAGAGCATTGCCCGAGCCAAAGAATCAAAGAATCAGGTCTATGAGCAATGTTGCCATGATACGAGGGTGCGCTAGCATACGGTAGAGTGCGTGATGCATGGGCAATCACAGGATAGCTAAGACCGTTGATGTGGCGACAAGAAGAATGCTGATCTCTTTGAGACAGCATCTTTGACATCACCACAACAGTCAGTCAGGGAGCAATTTGGTACTACTAGCTAGTTGGGCCAGATCAACTTGGTTGTCTCTTGTTCTTTGTCAGATGCGGAGTCCAACGCGATGCTATCGGGGAGGATTTGAAAGAAGCTGGTGGGTCTGGCTGGCATCGATTTTAAAAGTTGGAAGTAGGACTCGAAAACTATTCCATAGCGGCAGAGTAGTCCTGCAGCCACAGGCGAAGACCATTCACTGTTGCACATGAAGACATGAAGCAAAAGAGTCAACTTAGAATCATTCACGGGTGTGGGCTTAGGCTACGGTAGTACCGGTACCGGTACTACCTCCTCTGATAGATACCGCTGGCAGTGTCGTGGCAGGAAGAAGGATGGTTCAGCGGTTCTGCTAACTGAGAAGTAGTACGGCGTTTCTATTGTTCATCCCATCGACTACTATGCAGCTGCATTTTTGATGCTCGGAGATTGTTTGCAGAACTCATTGCTGCAGAACTGCTCTGAGCTTCCATTGGGTATCGGTGGCGTTTAGTAGGCGCGGGGCCTCGATGGTCGAAAATGGCCTCTTCCACTCAAGTAGCGGTGCCGGAACCGGTACCAGTACCGGCACGGAAAAACCAATCAAAGGGCAACAGCAAGCTTGGAGACAACCAGAGCCCGGAACTTGGCTTTGCCACAGTCAGCATCTTCTGCTTCCACGGATAGTTACTGGTTACCGCTGCATTGAAATGGCTGCCTTGGACCGGATCTTCCTTGGAGCTTGGAGTGATCGAGGGGAGTTGAGTCGTGGATAAATGGAATCCTAATCAATTTTTGGGACCGGTTTCAAAAATGCATTAGAGCTCTCGTCTGGCAGTCTTCCAACCACGTTGCTGTTGCCGTGATCGTCATTCTTTTTTGTTGGCTTTTCCCCCTTCTTGCCCACCCTTGTTGGACTTGTATCTCAAACCAAGCCGGGAGGGCGGTACTATTCCTGGGTTGTTTCACGGATAGACAGAGCCACCGGTACTTCCTGGGGTAGCCGGTAGCCAGCTACTAACTACCACCTTCCGGCATACTCAGTAGCGGATACAGTCTAAAAACTAATCTATGGTGCTGCCAGAGTGGATCGCTTCGGCTCTGTGCCATCCTTGATCAACCAATCCATTACTGGAAGTGTCCAATCACCAGGTCCTTCAAAGATACCTTTTAGTCTGGTGTTTAAGATTCGAGAAGCGAATGAGAATCTCTTCGCAACTCCTCCCTTTTAGTACTCTGGCTACTACTAGCTAGTAGCCACATGTAGTCTACAAGATACGAGTAGCCTTGACTGATTGGGTAGCTAGTACCCACCTAGTAGCCAGCCACGGAAAAGACCCTGTTGCCGAGGGTTCTCGGACCTGTTTGTTCGTCTTTGTTCTACCAAATCGGTGTTCTCAATAGGGCAAGCTACTCCGCTGTTTGTGTCAAAGTTTGACAAATAGCTAGCTAGCTAGTAGCTAAAGTAGCAAGCAAGTGCTGTACGGAAGCTTTACACGAACCGATGGTTCAGATACAGATACTAGCTAGTAGACGAGCGTTTTGATGGGTGGGTGCGCCTTTTGTCGAGTAGGACCAGTAAAGCAAGTAAGTGAAGCGGAGTATCTCTCATGCACCCGAACCACATGGTTTTTCTGAGGTTGGTACCAGTACTAGCTAGCTACTAGCCCAGTCGGATGAGAAGGCCAGGTGATGCAAGGTGGTAGCTACAAGCTACAGGGATGTGTTCTCGTACCGGTAGCATCGCAATGCAAGCCTAGATAGATGTGGCGACGAAAAGATTTTGCTATGCCAGGTACGAGGCGGACGTGTTGCATTGAATGAAAGGATTCTGATAGGCCATGCTATGCTGCTGAATGATAATCGAAGCAGGGATATTGGTTGGGTATTGTATCTTTTAATAGTTAGTTAGCTGAGTAGGTAACCATCTTATACTGTCTGTCTGTGCTTGTACGCTGTATCGTCTTTTTATTATCTGTCTATCATCTTGTCTCTTTCGTGTATGTCTAGCTTGTTTGTTCTTCTATTGGGTATGAATGTAAATGTATGTATGTAGTCTATGCAACGGGAGCTGGTTGCAATCCTTCTTTGGCTTGGTTACACTGCAACCGACATGTAGGCTTCAGTGTCTTCGTAGTGCTCCAACCACTCCAAGGACATTTGTGGTTGAGCCATGGGTTGAGCTTGTTCTTCTCGTTGTTGGTAGATCTCGGGCCATTGGGTCTTCATGAAATCGTCCATGACGGCGACTGCCACATTGCTGCTGCTCTCGTGGTGGTATTGTTCTTCGCTGGCCTTGTGGAGGGTCTTGTCCAGGCAGGGTTCGCCGTAGATCGGATTGCGTCCCCATTCGTCTTCGTGTGGTTGTTGGTGGTGTTCGTCCCACAGGCAAAAGGGTCTCTTGTCGGTAATGACATTGGAAGATTCCACGAGAGAATCCAATGTGTGCAAGACCTTGCCACAGGGAGCCCCGCAGCGGCCTTCCTTTTGGACTGGCCAACTAACGACAAAGGAGCTAACGTTGTAGGTGCTGACAATCTCTTTTAATTGAGAGGCGACAGCAGGAGACAGGACGCGTTTGTTATCGGAAGTTGTCTCCAAGTGGATGGTAACGGGTTCCAATGGAATGGGGGAATCTCCGTGTGCTGGATGAGATGCAACGGCCAATCCAATGCGGTCGGCACCAACGTCCAGTGCCAAGATGGCTCCACTGGCCTTCTTCCAGTCCAACGCACTGGCGATTTTGGTGGGGTGTCGGAGTACTCGAGTGGCGCTCATGATGTGTGTGTATATATGTATAGCTTTTGGATACCTTTGATTTGTGGTATGAGTTTGTTGTTGTTGTTCTTTGGTAGTTTTTGTGTCTGGGATTTTGTGACCGCGAAATGAACCTGGGTATCAGGGTGTTGTGACATGACTTGAAGGCATCACAGCCAATCGCAGATTGATCAATATTGATGCATGTCTTCAGTTGGCTTGTGCCGGGAGCGGAGTGTCAACTGTGACGCTACCCTTCTTTGAATTCAATCTCCAACCAGCCAAAGTGCCAGCTGAAGGCCTAATTGCCGCGGGAAGATGACCTGATACCGCTCACGACGTGGCACTCCGACTAACCGCTGACATCCTGTATGCTGCGTGCTGGAACCTCTCCACCCACCGGAACCTCTCCAAACCGTGTTTTGGGAAACCATGCGTGAATAAAAAATTCGAACCTCCAAGTTTATTGTCTACACGAGTCCCAAAATGGGTCCCAAAACGATTGACCTCGGAGTCTAGACGTCTTCCGAAGTGGTTCGACTTCTCCAGCCCTTCCGCCATTCTCAAAGCAAGCACTTGGCCCGTTCTCGGACGGTGCTGGAAGGCGAATCTTCCACACTCAGAATGGATCCCAAAGATCCTTTTGGCAACGCCAAATCTTTTGCTCCCGTTGCTGCCGCCAAATCCAAAAAAGCATTCTTTCGCTCTTGTGCCGCCAAATCCAAAATATTGGAATCCTGGCTGCTTCCTACCAATGCCAGCTGCACGGGTATCCTCGAACGGTAAAAGCTCGCTACTAGCTAGAGCTACCAAGAAGCGTTTCGTTTGAAAAATCTTCCTCACCAAATCTTCCACCACCAAAAAGTGACGGTGCTTGTTCGGCGGATGTCACCAGAAGGATTCTTGATTCAAGGTCAAGCTAGATTGTGCTCTTCCGCCAAACATGTCAAGTGGAAGCCAAAAGCCAAGAGGTACCAGGTACAAGCTAGCAAGCTAATAGCCAGGATTGGCAAAGATGTTTTGTAAGCAAACTTAACCACCGCACCGAGGGAGCTCAAATGCTATCTTTCGCCAGAGCTCCTTGCTTCTTGGCTGAAGTTGTGCGTGCTATCGGTGCTACTGTACTGTAGACTAAAAAGTATAGCTAGAGCTTTAGATTTCTGGCTGAAAGCTTGGCAACTGAAACAACTCTCGTGGAGACTGAGGGGAGTGGTCCACACGAGACAACAATCTGTTGGCCAAGCCAAACTGATCGTCTCGGTCGAGGCTTGAACAAAAAGGCCAGACTCCCAGCCAAACATCTTGCCAGAAGTTGCTTTCTTTTAAAATTGCAAGGAGCTTTCAGTGTGTGATCGAACCCCGACTGGCAGGCGCTCACGTAGAAAGTATCGTTCACACATCCCGTTTGCTTCTTTTCATGGTCCCATCACCTCCAACCTTCGACGGTGCCTTGGACCACAAGCAAAGGACAAAGAAGTCACATCTACGAAGAGCAATCTAAGAAGCATCAGAGAGGCATTCTTCTTGCAAAAAGCATCACAATCTTATGCCTTCTTAGTTAAATCGTCTTCCAGTTTGTCCTCTCTCTCTTTTGTTTAAGATCTCGCCATTGATTCTCGTTCTTTTGTTTCTCTCGGGTTTGTTTCGTGCAGGTTCTTTCATTGTCAAATCAAATTGAAAAGGGGATGCAACTCTGCTGTACCGTACATACATGTACCCCTCTAGTAGACAAACCGCACACTGTTTACCTACGAGACCGTACCGGTGGTAGCAGATTCGGTTTGGGTGTCCTTTCAATTTCCTTGCGCATGATGTCTCTCCAGATATTCGCCATAGAGCTGTGCATGCATCAGGAATGGACTCTTGAACTGATTTGAGCTCCGACGAGACCATGGATACCGGTATCGTACGACCGAGGTGCGTTCCTTTGCTGCTTTGGGGAGTCCACTGTCGTGGAGCAAGAACGACTTGCCTCGAAAGTAACTGTTGGCTTCTAAGGGGTGCAGCACCTCTTGGTCTCTTTTGGTAACCGGGTAACCTACCTTTGCCCTACACAATGTCATTTACATGGAACACCGAGCGAAGGCACTGTGGTTCAGGGACAGGGCGGAGACCGGGCTTTGGAGCTGCAGGCAAAGGCAGCAAACCATGGGGGCAACTTCGCTTCCAACTCTGACTGAGGATCCAGCACGGGAGGATAGCTCCTATTAAATACGCCAGTTTAATGGCGACTCCGACGTGACCGATTGCAGAGGGTGCGAGGACCTGCGCAGGATTATCATTACCGATAGCATCCCATCCTCGAACCTATTCCAGGCATAGTATACGAAGTTAGGATCCATAGTAAACGTACCGGTACCGGTAGTGGTGGGGCACAACGTACGGAAGTGATAGCTTTATCAAACGGTTGGTTCAGGCGACTGGAGGCGCGGTCTAACAACTGAGGGACGAAGCTACAAATTGCTCGACTTGCGGGACCTCTATCTGTGGAGTTGCGTCCTACTAGCTAGCGGCTGCGATACTTCCAGATCTCTTCCATTCGTCTGTCCGACTTCTGGCTAAGCTCATGTGCTTTCAAAATGGCTTACTTCAGAGCTGGCTGGCTACAGTAGCAGCAAGCTGGCTGCCACTTACTATGCATAGTAGCCAGAAGGAATGATTCAAACATTCACACGACATACCTATCATTCCAGTATCCCGACACCCATGTCAAAGCGCTAGAACTCTTCAATACTACTGGCAGTGGTACATGTACTGTAGCTAGCTAATACAGCTCCAACGGTAGCTACTGCCTAGCTAGCGATGAGGACCACACACAACCCACCGGTACCGGTCGCAACAGCCCAAATAACCTCAACGTCTGCGAAGCTAAAAGACCTACACGTGGTCAACCGGCGAGAAAGCCACGCGAAGACTGCTTTCACGTGCTACCGGTACAAGAGCGACTGCTTCGCATCGATTGGGCTAAAAAAGTTGGTTCGTGATGCTTGGCTTCACATCATGGTGTCAGCGGCCCTCACAAATTGTGGCAAAACAAGAACTGCTCGGACGCTCAACGGCATTGAGCTCTTGTTGCTGTCAGCCAAACACAGCAAAGGGGTTGACAACAGCCATCATAGACCCATCAATCGTAGTCATAGATTCCTTGCCTTGTCGAGGAGATGTGTGAATGGTAAGGTTCTATCATCCTTTTTGATGGCATCGAGTATGTCTTTGACGCAAGCACCCATAGACTGTATATAGAACAACCTCCCTTTAATTCATACCGTAGAGTAAAAGACCGCGATCATGAAGCACAACAATATCATGAAATTCCTCGCTGATCCATCCAAGCTGGCGGCCAAGTTCGACTGGAAGCGAAAGGCGGGGTCCATCTTGGCGTTGGACGTGGGCAAGGACAAGATTGGTTTGGCTGTGGCTTCGCATCCAGAGAGCGGAGAATCAGCCCTGGCATTGGATCCAATGCCTCTCATGCTAGTGACCCGAACGGGCAATCGGAAAGTCCTGGACGAGTCAGTCATTCAAGAATTGCAGGATGTTGTCGAGACGTTCAATGTGTGTGGCTTTGTGGTATCCTGGCCGTTGCAGAAGGAAGGCCGCTGCGGGGCGCCCTGCGGAAAGGTCCTACATACCCTGGATTGTCTCGTGGAAGAAAGTTCGTCCATTGTCAACCAAAATCGACCCTTTTGCCTCTGGGATGATCATCATTATCTTCCGGGAGAAGATCGGTGGGGCCGTCTGCCCAAGTATGGAGAGTCTACCACCAAGACTGTGCACAGAGCCAGCGAAGAACAGTATGTGCACAAGTGCAGCAGCAGCATTGCCGTGGATGTTTGGAACGACTACTGCTCCAAGCACTGGCCTCAGCTTTGTGACGATGAGGAGCAACTTGACGAGATCTGGGATATCCCCAGAAATACTTACTGTGAGTCAAAGACTGTGCTAAGTGTTTGGCATGACAACGACGGTGATGAATGCTTCGACGAAACTTACCCAAACTCGGCCCTTGTAGCCTGAGAATGAATGCTGCACCGACACATTCATGGTGAAAGTTGGGCTTCATACAGTTACCTGCAGTTGAGGATTCATGATTGCGAACGGAATGATTGAATGGCCCTGGCCCTGGAATGGATACCAGCCACAACACAGCTTGCTTGTCGGAGTCTTGAGAGAGCATTGCATTGCATCACCTCATAGAATTCTAGCATAGCTATTGTGACGAGTTGTGGTGGGCAACAGAATCCATAGTTGCCCCCCTCCCCTTTAGACTATATACACCCCATAAGGGTTATTGCGATACGAGTACTGTCCCCTATCCTCTCATTCACCCGCACCAGTACGGTAGATCGTTGTTGCACCGGTGCCTTCATCAGCACATTTGCCCAGTCTAATGATCCGTTTTAACTCAGATGCTACATTCAGAAGTCGTTGGAAGCAATGGGGTTCTTCAATTAGCTAGCTAGGCATGACATCACCAGCCTCCTCTGAGGACCTTTTCAAGTTGTCGGAGTTCGCACAGGGCCACGCAAGGGATGCACGGTCGTCGACAGCACGAAGAACCCATTCCAAGTCGCCCCCGAAACGGATTTTTTTAAAGTTTTGCAAAATGAGATTTGAGAAAGCATCCTGAAAATACTCCACAGTTCTCCTAGACTATGAACATGATGGAAAAGATGGAAAACTAAAAGACACCTTGTCCATGGTGTCAATCCGATACCGGTAAGCATGTGGCTGATGAGCTTCCCAGACAAATCTGGCCTCAAAGCTAGCAAGCATGGCGGCTTGAATCCACACAGGAACAAGAATGAGGACCAGGACTATGATATTATTATGGTCAATAGAAGAAGGTGCTAGCTAGGTAGCAGCTTATTAGGTAGCCAAGCTAGCTTCTCTTCCCCTCCTCTCTTGGTCTCTTTCAACTTCCCCTCCCCCAGGGTTTTCTTGCTGACCATCATTCAGTGATGTTGTTATATCACAACAGCTGTCGCAACAAGGTTGTGATTTATTACTAACAACTTCGAACGCAGAACACAGGTAGATTGCGTGACGTGGCGGGTCACAACGCTGTCACAACAGTCTCTTCAATGGAGGTCATTCTGTATACGACAGCAGAAGCTTTTTAAAAAGGGCACGGTAGGTTTCTACACTCAATACTTAAACACAGTTTCGGCATCCCTGAAAAGCGGAACCAAAAAAGACCGGTTCCATTACATGAAATTTAACCATTGAGATCTACTAGTATTGTGCTTCTTTCTGGTACTCTAGAGTACCAAGCACAGCAAACCAATCACTCCATAATCACATCATGTCTCATATTATCTTATCTTATTTTCTGATAGAGCATATCATTTCCTGCAGTATCATAATATCATGTTCGGAACTGCCACGGGATCATCGTCCTTGGACATGCCCCACATGGCACATAGCTTGAACCAAAGTGAGGACTCGTCCACACTGAGCAGCAATCCCACGCCCACACAGAAACGACGCAGTGTCAGGGCCAGCACCAGTTCTCTCCGGCGACCCACCATTAGCGATGAGTTTCACTTTTCTTTGCCGGGAGAAACCCGCGGCGCTCTGTCTCGCAGCAGCAGTGCTTCTTCTTTTGGTAGCACTAGAAGCCGCCAGAGCAACAACAGTTATTCCAATAATGCCAATGTCAAACAGCTTACCGTCAACAAACTGCGCCATGATGATCTCGAAAAGATGACGGATTCTCCTTCATCCAAGGCCCCTCTGGGGAGGAGCCGAGAATACGACCTCTTATCAGAGCGACTGCAAGCAGTGGTGGAGGGCCGTGTGGGCCGCGAACTAGTCTTGATGAGTGGATACTCTGGAGTGGGAAAGACCAAACTGGCCTCCAGCATTCGGCCCTTGGTGAAGCGGGGTCTCTTTGTGATTTCCAAGTTTGATTACGACAACACTACTGCTGGTGACAACAACAACATTGACAACGACAGCAATCCCTACGTGGCCATTACGGCAGCCTTTAACCGGATTTGTCGCGATATTTATCGACGCCGGTGCACTGCCAGTAGTGTGCATGGGAGTACTGATACTGATACTGGCACTGGTATGGGTGAACAAGAGATTGACACCAAGTCCCTGTCCCAACACTTGGTGGATGCCATGACCCCCACGGAACTGTACCTTCTGGAAGAAATCGTTCCCGACATGGACCTGTTGCTGCTTGAAAACGAACAAACCCAAAGCAGTCAATTCGCCACGGACATTAAAGGCAACACGGAAACCAGGCCCATTCTCTTGCACGCCTTTCGAAAGTTCTTGCGCATCATTGCCTACCACGCCACCTTTCTTTGCATCGTCTTGGATGATACCCAGTGGGCCGATTCCGCTTCTTTGGGGTTGCTAGAGTCCATTCTCTCGGACCAGAATATCAAGAACCTCATGGTGGTGGCCTGTTACCGATCCAATGAGGTCGACGAAAACCATCCCTGGTCTATAATGGTCCAGGGATTGAGAAATCAGCAGCAGCAGCAACAACAGCAGCAGCAGCAGAAACTTGAAGAGCAGAAACTTGAACATTCCAATACTAATGACACAGATGGCGAGAGCTCTACTGGTCTTTCCATTACGGCGCTGCCACTCGATAACCTGGATGTGGATACCCTCAATCGGATCATCATGGTCCTCATCAACACGGACGACACGGCAAGAACCATCGAGCTAGCCACGGCCATTCACGCCCGAACCCAAGGCAATGCATATTTCTCACTGACCTTTTTGGAAAACCTAAGGGACGAAGGACTGCTAGAATTCAACCTGGGAACCTTTCGGTGGGCCTGGGATTGCCAGGAAATCCTCGACGCCACGGTAGCTACCACCAACATGGTCAGCTTGCTCATGGACAAGATGAACCGATCCGGTGCCAAGGGGTGTCAAATGACCAGGCTGCTGCCATTGGCGGCGTGCCTGGGAAGTTCCTTTGAAAGAAAGCTGCTCGAGTTGGTTTGGATGGAGATTGAAAAGGTGGGCCAGGTGGGGGATTTTAACACTATGGAGGATGATGATCAGGGCGATTGGGTTGTGGACGGAGAGCAACCTGATGGCATGGATATGGAAATGGCCGTGGGCGACAATGAGCGCGAACGACAGTTTGATTCCCTCTTGAAAATGGCAATGGAGGAGCAGTTTCTAGAACCCATGGGGGAGACGAGAGTGAGGTTCTCCCACGACAAAATCCAAGAAGCCAGCATGTCGCTCCTGCGGGGGGATCGTTTCGACAAGCTCAAGATATGTGTTGGCGTTGTAATGCTGGCGGAATTGGAGCCGACCGAGCTTGACTCCTGCCTGTTTGTGGCTGTGAACCTGCTCAACAGTGATTTTCTGGAAGGGTTCCTGAAAGGCCTCTTGATGGGAGACGCATCCGCCACTAGTCGCAACGCTGACGACGACCTCACAGAAACATCCTGCACGCACACGACACTTCGCTACTCTATTGGCAACACACCTAGGTTTCTTCGACGCTTGCTTCGCGGGGTGTCTGTGAATCCTGATCACGAGGATGAAAGCAGCAAGGTTTCTCCCCCACCTCCGAAAACCAACGTATCGGTGGTGGGGATTGATACCGAGGACCTAGAATTGGAGAGCTTTCGTGTGAGGTTAGCGCAGTTGAATCTCCAGGCCGCCGTGAAGGCGAAGGGCTTGTCTGCTTTTCATAGTGCTGCAAGCTACGCAGCCAAGGGCTTGGCGCTATTGGGAAAGGAAGAAAAGTGGACCACCACCTTTCACTTGGCGTTGGACCTCTGCAACGTTGGAGCAGAAGCCCAGGCTAACATTGGAGCATTTGACAAGGCCATGATGTACTGCACCGAAGTGCTCGAGTGTCCACAATGTTCTATTGCTGATAAAATACGAGCATATAGGGTACTTGTGGCCCACAAAGGAGGCCTTGGAGACTTCAAGGAAGCGTCCGATTTGTGCCTGGAGGAGCTGCGGCGGCTTAACTACAAATTCCCATCGAATAGGGTCGTCAAAGTTTTCAAAGTATTGAAACTTGCCCTTCAGGCGAAAAACTCCAAAGGGTTACCCTTGAGTGACGTCGCCGCCATGCCACTCATGGCAGACCGAAACATCCGCGCAGTGATGGCCTTGATGGAGATGACCTACACGTTCTTGTATCTGATGCAGGACGAAGAAGGAATGATTCTGGTGGTTGATAAGATGCGTCGATTGACAATGAAGTACGGTCTCTGCAAAGAGAGTCCTGGCTCACTTATGATCCGTTGCCACATCAACATGTTTATCTTTGGCGACGTCAAGAAAGGGTTAGCTTACATTGAAAATGTATTGACGGCCCTGGATTGTTTGGGGCCATACGCATCTATGGCCTTTTCCAGAACAACATGGCAAGTATATGGCATGGTATATTGCTGGGTTAAGCCCTTGAACACCTGCATAGCCAAGTTAGAGGAAGGATTTATTCGTGGGCTCCAGGTAGGCGACACAGAGAGCGCAGCCATCAGTGCTTGGATAATGGTGTCCTTTGAGTTCTTCACTGGCAAAATGACGCTGGATCGGCTGAAACAAAGGTGTCTGTCCTTCATCCCTCAACTGGAATCATTGCAGCGGTTTGTGTTTTCGAAATGCATATCTTGCCTCCTGCAACTCGCGATCAACCTATCAGAAGAAGGGGCACCAAATACAACGCTTCTTACTGGGAGGGCCATGGACGAGGCAGACATGCGAAAGAATGCGGCTGTCTCATCGGATGCATATGAAAGAATCGCTCTGTATGCTCTCGATTTCTTCGTGCAGATGGCCTATGCATTCTTTGGCGACCATGTCAATGGTGCGGCATTTGCCATCAAGCGTGGCGATGTCATCTTGGACGAATTACGAGGCAACGCTCTGGGTACCCTTTGCCCAGTCCTTCGAGCGATCTCACTATATGCCATGGCACGAGAGACTACGGGTGTGCAGAGGCTGAAATACAAGCGTTTAGCAAAACAGGCGCACTCACATGTCCGCTTCTGGGTGCAGAACGGAAATTGCAACATACTGCATCTGTTGAAGCTGCTTGAAGCAGAACGCAAGTCGCTTTCAAGGAACAAGGAGGCAGAGGCAACCGCTTTGTTTCGCGAGGCACGCGTGTTGGCTGCACGGGGTGGTTTCCGACAGGACGCCGCACTAATATGCGAACGGCATGCCGAATTCCTCCTATTGGGATGCTCTGAAGGCCGTGCCTCGGCTGATAGGCCAGGGGCAGCCCGTCAAATGGAAGAAGCTATTCGCTATTACTCGGAATGGGGGGCAATGCATAAAGCGAAGCTACTCAGAAACAAATACGCAGGCCTCCTTGCGGCTCAGGATTGGGATCAACTGGCGATGGCGTTGCGGCAAGGGGTTGATGTAAGAACTCGAACTTACCGCTTGAGAAAGTACAAAGACTGCTTCGTGGGAAGCGAAGCAGTGGATTTTCTTTCCAAGCTGACAGCGAGACCAAGAGAGGAAGCCCTTGAGGTTGGCAGGCAGATGTCAGAGCGCTTTGATCTTCTGGAACACGTTTGCGACAAGGATGCACATCCTGAGTTGGAGGATGGGTACCTTTTTTATCGTTTTGTAACCAAACCCAAAAAGGGTGGTGGGGAACGGCGGACTCTGATCGAGGTGCCGTGGTGAATAGCTCGAGTTTTGCACCCCCAACCTACCCGAAGAACTGCCACAGCAGCCAGGTACATGACGACATGTTGTTGTCTGCAAGAAAGAGTGAGAGTACCGGTACGGAGGAGTGGAGCATCTGGCCCAGGAATGGATACCAACCACAAAAACAGGTTGCTTGTTGGAGTCTTGAGGGAGCGTTGCATTGCATAGCATTGCATCACCTGGTAGATTATTCTAGCTTGGGTATTGTGACGAGTTGTGGCGGGCAACAGAATCCATACTGTAGTGCCCTCCGATGTAGACTATATACATATACGATACGAGTACTGTCGGTATCCTCTCATTCACCCGTATCGTTGTCATACTGAGGCCTTCATCGCCATATGGGCTTCTGGTTCCTATAGCTAATGCTATTTGCAGAAGTGCACAGACTAATGATCCGGTTAACTCAGATGCTACTATTAATAGCGAATCAGAAGTTCGTTGGAAGCAAGGGGATGCCGCTAGCTACCCCGAGAAGGCAATAGTCGAAGAAAAGGGCTTTCTTCTTCATTACTGGAATAGGATACGTTGATGAACAGAACGACACTGAGACCTCATATCAGTACCGTAGCCCATCAATGATGTTGTGGTGTGCAAAGGGCATCATCGAAAGCGAGAAACCCCACAATTAGCCATTCGACCGACTGAGTCAGTTACAGTTGTTCATCTCAACCACTGGCAATGGGCGATCCTCTATCTGCAGAGTGCGTATTTCCATTTGCCAGTCTCTGAGAATCATGGTCCTTCTTTAACTTCCTTCGAGAGAGCATTGGTTGCCTCCAATGGTTGTCCATTGTAGCTACCATTCAGTCGGTCCCAAAAGCAACACTTACCCCACCACGGGATGTTTGCAGACGGGGCAGACGGCTCTATGCGCGAGCCACGGATCTATACACCCGACGTGGAATTCATGAAAACAATGAATTCTTCTCACTCGATCTCCCATTTGGTAGGCTTCTAAACAAATGGGGCATGCTTGTGCCGCATTGTTTGACAATAATAATTCATCATTGGGATCGTTCAAAACTCGTTGTGGACATCGATCAATTTCTGCCTGTGTGGCTCCCATGGATTGTGCCATTGTGGCTTCTTCGTGAAAGCGCATCAATGCTTCGTAATCATTGCCATCAAAATCGGAATCCCGCATGACGAGGCGCAAGGATTCCAAAGACAGGGGTGGTTGTCCATTAGCAGTTCGTTGTCGATTGAGATCGGTGACCCATGCCCGAAATCGTGCCGTGCGCAACAGAGTGGCATGAGCATGCATGGATTGTGGTACGACCAATCGAGCCAGTGCGCCCCGGCCACTGTTGCGAGTGGATCTTCGATTGTTAGTAGTAGTAGGTGTCGGCAAGGACAGCCCCGCCGCTGACAATCCTCCTTGTGCGCGGGTGAATTGTCGGTATAAAACACAGACCCTTAGAATGGTGCGAGTAATGACAAACACCGACATCATGACGGCAAAATCCAAAATGGCTTGACCGGCACTTCCCTGTGGTCGACGCCGTCGTTTTGGTTTTTTCTTGCCATCTTCTGCTTCTTCTTCCTCCTCTTCATCACTACCATCCGTAAAATAATCTCCACCACCGCGTAGATTGGAATGTCCCGCTGCCGCGAGTTGTTCTTGTTCGCGTCTCCATGCCATGTCTCCCGCACGGGCTCTCATTTTGCGTTGCCAATCGGGTGCTTCATCGGCAATTTCCGGGACGATATCCAGATCTTGTCCATTTTTTTTGGCTTTGCGATGTTCCAGGCGCAATTGTTCTCTTGTTTGCAATTCCAAATTCAAACGTTGCATCGCTTCAAAGGAGCGATCGGGTTGCCACTGGAAAAAGGCATAACTGTACACGACGCAAATGCCCAAAAACAGTGCCAGGTTCTTTCGTCGTTGATGATGATGAAAGAAAAAGAGCAACAGTCGACTGCGATCTCGATGTTGCTGATGATGTTGTTGTTCGCCATTCGATTGTGGAGCTTGGCGTGGACTGCTGATGCTGCTAATGCTGCTAGTAGTGCGACGAGTGCGGGGTGGATTGGGAGAGCTTGGGAACATCATCTTGACTGGAATTCTACTTTGTTTCACCGACACCGTCTTTTATTCATTGCTGGTATCGTATCCTCGAGCTAGCTAGTCAGCTGATGATAGTGCTGTACAGACAACGCAATGGATTTCCAATACGGTGGGCTTCACCAAGCTTTGCGCCTCTGCTTTGGCACCAACAGCACCATGGTCCGATCTCCAATCAAGAGTGACGTCGTATTAAGGACTCCCATTTGAGCTTCGTTTCCACGGCCGCTAAGAAAGCCACGGTCACAGCACACGATTTGACTGGTCCATGTTTGGCTATTTGCTTCTTTGCTCCACCGCACTGCAAGGCTGTGTACCTCAAATGGAAAGAGCATCGCTTCTTTATTCAGTCTTAGCACTGGAAGTGTGCCGTGGCTCCTTGAGTTGGGCACTTGTTTCAGCGGTGGGTGCTGGTTCAAGCCCAGACATAACCTTTTTCCCCAAAGTACTACCAGTAGCTAGCTAGTACATGTACCTTCAGTCAGTCAGAGGTCACTCGCATACGTACGATATTTTCCCTCGCGTACGATGTATTTTCTCTGTCGTCATCGTCGATGCCTTTTTAAAAAAACCTTGGAAACCTACAAAGTGTATGTGACTTTCCACTTGCTCAGAATATGTGTAGTGCGTCCTTTATAAATTTGCAGAGCTCTTCGCATGCAGCAACAGTTTGTGTAGCTCAATTGGAAAGAGCGTCGCTTCTACTCAGCTGATTTCTATGAAACAGCATATCTCATTCAGCGGAGGGTGGGAGTTCGAGTCTCTCCACAAACGTTTTGTTGTTTGTTGTTACAGTGAGTTGTTCCGATGCGTTGCTGACTGGCATGCTATTAGATGGGAAGCCATTATGACGGGTAAAAGTACCGTAGATGGATTACAGTAGACCACATTGAAGGCGTGATCACAATTTTATCAGTTAGTTTGCTCCATCAAAACCAGATACTATAGATACCGTATCAACAAGCCAGTACATGTCGCCAACCAGGGAACATGACACAGCAGCACTTCGAAAGAGTTGCAGTCGACTTCCCCTGTCTGTCCCAGAATAATCAGACATAAGGCAGGCGCCATTGGAACCTCTCTGGCGGCAAGCCTCTACCGGTACCAGGTACCAAGCAAAGTACCTCGGATGCATCAACCTACTGTATGGGTTTAAAATACGCTGCCGCACCACTACCGTTTGTTGGGAAGGAAAATTCACACTATTACAACACTCAGACCTACCAAACAACCACACTACCACCCAAGTAGCAACTGACTAGAACTTTCTTATCGTGTCCACCTTGTACGTTGCATTGCCCGTCTTGCTGCCAAAGGAAGATGATTTGACTGTACTGCTACTGCTACTGCTGGCAACTTCCATAACGTCCTTGTCCAATGTATTCAATTTCTTTTCCCGTTCAAACAATGCCTTGGCCAACTTGCGCATCTTGACCTTTTCCCGTTCCACTGCGGCTTCGGATCTCTTGCGTTCGTCTTCCAACAACTTTTCACCCCGTTGTCGTTCCGCCTGGGTGGCTTGGGAAACTTTGGCATCCAGTTCCCGTAGTGCCACTTGTCGGGCATGCTCTGCGGCTTCTTCGACACGTTTGTTCATGAGATTGGTCAAATCGGCAATTTGTTTTTGATACTTGGATTCAATGCTCAATTTCAAGGATTGCATCTCCCTTTCATATTTGGCAACGAGATTCTGATTGGCCAACTCCTTTTCTTGCAATTTGGCTTCTAGTTCTTCCATTTTCATGTGCTGAACTTGTATTATTGCCTCGAGTTCGTCTCGCATCTTTTCCAATTGTAGTATTTCTTTGGCGAGACTGGCCACTCGTTTTTTCAAATCTTGGTTTTCCGTCAAGGCGGCAAGTTTGTTGGCTTGGCCTTCGGCGGAAGCACCCTTGAGACCTGATCGATGCAAGATTGACTGGGATGTCTTGAGTTGACGACGCAACAAGGCCAGCTCTTCTTGAGATTGTCGCAACTGTCGATCCAACATGGTGACTTGCTCTTCCAAGAGTTCGCGATATCTACGTGCAGCCGTCCTTTTGCCAAAGTACCAGGCACCTCCTCGAGGGATTTGCATCAGAACAGATGCCGTGGATTGTTGTGGTGATCTTGGGACAAAGGCATTGCTGTTCTTGTAAGAGGCAAATGGAGAGGCTACTGCTGGCGAAGGACTGGAGGATAGCAGTAGCAGGCCTCCAAGTAGTACATTGGATCTGGAAGGTATCTTCATGATTCTCACCCAAATCTGACCGAGTCTACTAGCTAGCTACAGAGACAGCTGGATAAGCCACAGTGTAGCGTCAGAAGTGAACCAACACGGTCAACACTTGATCAGCGCTTGAAAGAGGAAGCTCTTGGAGGTTGAATGATTATGGATGGAGGCAAGAAGATCCCTTTTCCCTTCGTTGTCCAAAAGACAAAGATGGATGAGGGAGCTTTTTGAAGTCAGGTAGCTAAGGTAAAACGTTTTTGTATTTCCGTCATATTTACCTCAACTATAACAGCTGTCTTCCTTCAAAGATCACGAGAGGACACGTGGAACTACCAACGAGTTCGGTATCTACCGGTAGTTAGACTAGCTAGCTAATAGTTGACTAGCTGGCTAGCTAGCTCCGGATCTCTGCTTATTCTTACCAAGACAAATCGAAATCCTGTAGGACGGAGGCCACATTTTCTTTGAAATCAGTCTGTGGTGATGCCATGGTACCATCAACATAGCTTGCCAGTTACGGTCGCATGTAAAGAGGGCAAGAGCCAATGATTGCCTTAGGATGCATTGGCATTTACCTCTTCAGTATGAGTTGGTCTTTTGGGTGTCTTGAAATAGGCAGGTAACTACATTGGCTTGAGCAGCGGAGATGGTGGTCTTTGGCAATCCTCAAGTGGCCCTGGAAATGGTGTTTCCTGGGGATGTTCACTACGGGTCCATTGGACTGGATACAGTCGTACCACTACCCCCGGATGGTGGATGGGCCCTGAAATCAGCAGGAATGCTGCTTTTTGTGGGAGTTTGGAGACTTTCAAGTGGGCTCCAGTCCAGCCAAAGAGGTGCCCAGGGAAGAAATGGACGTGACGCTCTGAAATCCTCATGCAAATGAATGCCCTTCATTTTTTGTTTGTTCCACTGCACGATTAGGTTTGTAGGCGACCTTTGGCTCCTCGTTCTCTACACGCCCGGTCCCTGGTACCAGTACCTTGAATAACGCAATCGGCACCTGGGGATTGAAAACGGAGGTCGCCTACTATTTACTAGTACCGTAGTCCGACCACCCTTTCCTCGGCCTCTTAGAAAACTTCTCGAACGAGGTGCAGTTTGGTTGATGGCGACAAAAACCGCCGTTGCCGCGCGCGGACGCCCAAATAAATTCTTCATCGTTCTTGCCACAACCAGCCGTTGTCGCACAACCACACTATCTGATTGTTTTGCATTGCATTGCGACAAAGACGACATGAGTATCGATCTTCGATCTAGTTGGGGCTTGCACGACGCCGCCCGAGCGCTCCTGAGGGGAGACTACAACAGCGAGTCGTCTATCAAGATCCGCCTTCATCAGGGTTTCTTCTCGAAACCTCTTGATCCAAATGATTTGAACAACTTGTGTCGATTGATGCGAGCCATTGGCTCGATTTCCTCTCTGGAAACTCTCAAGATCGAACCAAGCGCCTTTTCGTTTACCAGCGATGAGTGGTCATGTTGCCTTCCTGTTGAAGCGTTGACTTCGGCAATGAATGAAGCCCGCAGTTTGTCATCGTTGACCGTTGAAATGGAGGTCGTTCTCGTCGGAAGAGCCGAGAGCTTCAAGGGACTTGCACTATCCCTCAAAGATCATCAACATTTGAAGCACGTAGACTTTGAATGTCGCGCTCGAGAAGGCGTGGACATCACAACCCGCCACGACTTCTCGGACACGGAGACCGGCGCTTTGAGCCTCCTGGACCCTGTGGTGTTTGCATTGGGACACGTCCAGGGGTTACAGACGATCCAATTTTGTGACAGCCGACGGCCTCGTGGTAAGGCATTGGCACATTTGAGTAATGAGTCGCTACGAAAGATCTGTAGCATTCCGAACATTCAAGATTTGAGGCTCTACAGCTTTGAAATCAACGACGCCCACTTGACGATCATGGCTTCACAGCTCCGTGGCAAGCAGAAGTTGATCATACTCGGCATCTCTTGCAGCGATCTTGGCAAACGCGGAACCAAGGCGTGGAAGGAAATGATAGCAACAAACCGCAAGATCGAAAAACTCCATGTCGTGGTCAAGAGCCTAAAAGAGGGTGGTGCGAAAGGTGCATTGCTGATCGGACAGCTAGTGCAGCAACTTGGGCCAGCAAAGAATTGCTCGGCTCTACGGCTGACTGTACCCGAAAGCATTGCTAAGCGCACTTTGCTGAGCGTACGGCAGCTGGTGCAGAGCAACTATACCCTTAGGACTATCGGCCTGCATCGGTATGACGGGCGATGCACGTGGTGGGTTACTGATGATGAAATTGACTTCTTGCTCAAAACGAACAGACTTGGACGCGGAAAACTCTTCAAGCAGACGAACGAGGGTGAAGTCGATGATTCTACCCTCTGGATGACCCTGTTTGAAGCAACGGAGGGCAAACTCGACAGTATTTACACGCTCGTTCGTAGCCATCCCAGCGACTTTTCTCAGATGTTGCTCAAGGACCATTCGGAGAATATGCCGCCTTCTACAAAGGTGTTGCGATCTCTGCTCCGAGATCACCAAAAGACCACGACCAAGAAACTGGATCGGGTTGAACGAGCTGTTGTTGAGGACGTGGCCGAGAAACTGGATCGGGTTGAACGAGCTGTTTATGTTCTTATCGGTTGTGTGTTTGTTGGCACTCTCAGCTTGGTTCTCCTCTTTGTTGCCTACGTCTTCTTTGTGAAGAATTCACGAAACTAAGGCCAGCGCATTGGAATGAGAGGACGATTGTCCGCATCTCCCAGAAAATGCATCACAGAACGACAAGGCGATTGTGGATTGATTGATTCGTTGTTGGCTACTACTCAGAATTAGAAATAATCAAACTTTGAAATGAACGCATATTGTTTCCAAGCATTGACTCGTTGCTGCTAGAGTACGCATTCACTCTTTCTATTTCACGTACTCCCAGTTATTCACCATGATCTTTGAGACGCACTGCAAGGCGTGACGTTGAAGTTCGGGATTCTCGTGTTCGATCAAGGGCATGACAAGCTCCTTGGCACCGAGACGCTTGGCGATTGCTCGTCCGTTGGGGTAATGACGCACAAACTCACCAATGTCAAAGCATGCAATGGCCGAGATTTCCTCGTCAGTGCTGGACAAAAGAGCAATAAGGACCTTGAGTGGACGGAAATCACCATCACTTCCTTCCATCATGCGCGCATTCTCCTTGAAAAACGCTTCGGTATGTACAGATCCCCACTGGAGATGTCCTGCCTCGATTTCATTCTTGTATACTTCCCATCGGCTCATTTCTTTGTAGTTCTCAATCAGGAGCTTGTGGAGGCATTTGACGTCCTCCACAATGTCTGGATCAGTGAATTGTCGGTCACGCAAGTGATCTACTGCCTTCATCAATCCACAAGCAATCATTTCGCCCAAAAAGTGCTTGTCATCGATCCGAGGCTGCCCGGATGGTTGGGGTGAATTGTCAGCGTCACAAGTGGCCATGTTTCGGAGCGACGAAAGGGCTACACGGACCACCTTTTCTCGAGGAGCAATGGATACCATATCCACCAATGCTGAAATGGGGAGTCCGTCTTTGGCAAAATCAGCACGGATTTGGTAGGAAGCATTGAGCTCATACGTAAGGACCCACAAGCAAAAGACCAGTTCGTACAGTTGCTGAACCGAAGTCTGAGTCTTTTTCTTGTTGTCAATGGATGTAGTAAGTGTTTTGGTAGTCTTGGAACCAGCTCGTAGCTGACGAGAAATGTACTTGATTCCACCGGATTTGCAAAAGATGACTCTGGATTCATGAGCTTCCATGAGCGCCTTGAGAGAAGGGATGCAAACACCGACCATGGCACCGGACGTGTTCTTCAATTGACTGGCAACCCAAGCAGCAAGAGCCTCTGCGGGTTCTGTGGCAGACGCAAAGGAGACTTGGCGGGCTCTGACGGGATTTCCATCCTTATCCACCGTGCTAGTCTTTTGACGTTGAGAAGGAAAGGCGGCCAGCAAAATCTTGGCCAAGGAGAGAGAGGCAACTTTCTGCGCAAAAATGTCTCCTTTTCCTCCCTTGTTCAAGACACGCAACAATGCCTTCCACTGGTCTACCAACACTCCTTCCTTTCCAACGTAAAAGACAGAGGTGATGGTAACACCCGACACGCCATCATTGAGCGTGGTGATGATTTCGTACAATTTGGTGAGAGCATAGTGGCTGACAATTCCAAGGGGATCGTCCTTCAGAGCACTCATGGCTTCTTCGTCAGTGCATTTTTCAGGAAGTTTGGATACCACGCCTAAGTCGTAAAAAGACAACATGGGAATGATGATTAGCCAATCAATAGAAGTAGTATCTATCTACCAAAGACACGGAAGCATCATCATAGATGGCAACCTACCTGTTCCTGCTCCTACAGAGTGAGCTTCCGCCAAGAGCTTGAGAAGGACCCGGGCGTACATGCTAGCATCTCGAGAATCTGACAAGGTATAATCGATGGGATTGGTCTCTGCCATGCGGAGCAAAGCCGTCTCTTGGGCCGTCAATCGTAGGGAACCCAGAGCATCCCATTGGATCTGAGGAAATGCATGGGTGACGGGTGACTTGGGGATTCCGTTCATGATGATGATCAAGTCAAGTCAATGCTAACTAACTAATAGGAGTCTTTCTCCACAAACAGACCAAGATGGCAAACCAACAACAACAATCAAAGGAAGCATCCACAAGCCAGGCAAAGGTGTTGCCAATTCGAAAGCGGAAGATCGAAGGTGCCCTCCGAAAAATAGATCCGTTTCGGGGAGCCTGGCGGACATGCGGTTAAATCGGCGATTATATCTGATCCCTGACCTTATAATAGTGGAGATCCCGTGCAGGCACCGGACCACCGTCATCATACTAGTAGCTCCAAATTGGTTCTTCCACCCTTCCCACCCACAGCCATGGCACCAACCACCATGATTATACCCGCTGCTAGCTTCAAATTGGGACCATTGAGCTGCCCCTTCAGGCTTGTCTATCTCTAGGACCCACTCCCGATCCCTACCTGGACCAACTGCAGAACCCATTATTTATGCGCCATCTCTGGTGCCCACGCCTGGACCAACTCCAAGAACTGCATCTACCTTTGGTCCATCTACAGGCCCTTTCCTGGTCCAACATCAAAGCAAAAAAAAGTCAAACTCCAGGCCCACACCTGGACCATTTCATCATTCCATTCCGTTCCTGGTCGCTCTCAAACCTGTTCAACTTGGCACCCAACATAGGTACTACATCAGGATCTACTCCTGGAAGTACACCTTTGCCTACTACGGGCTCCACTCCTGGTCCAATAGGCTCGCTCCAGGGGCAACAACAGGATTTACTTCTGGTCCATCAGGGCTAACACCAGAGTCTCATCTACACCGGTTCATTTCCAGACCCCTCTTGGTCCCACATCTGGACAAACTTTAGACCCAACTCTACACCTCACAACTGGACTAACATCAGGACCTACCAGTAACCCTGGACCACGCATGGTCCATCTCCTGGTCCAGTCCCATGCACTCACATCGAGTCCGCGTGAATTGGAACCTAACATTGACTCCTTAGCCTGAATTCCAAATAGAATTCAAGACTCCAAACATGGCGAAGGGACCACCACCATGTGACAAAATTCCATCCCAACCAACTCTGTGGAAAGAAAAGTGCATTGTCTGTACCAACAACTCAAGCTTCATGCCTGAAGTGAACCTGTTTGGGTTAGTAGACTTGTGTGGTCAGGTCGTCTAGTTAATGAAGAGGGAAACTTGAAGTACTCAACATAAGTAAGTCTAGAGACCTTTGGGCACGGATACGAGACAGCAAACAATTCTCTTGGCAACCAATTGATTCATAACAAGCAGCCGTAGCTTAAAAGACAGAAAACCCATACGTACACCAAGACTCTAAAGAACGGACATTTGCTGGCTTGCTTGGGCCATGTTTCCTGCATTTGTTTCTATCCCGTACCAACTAGCTGGACATCTCATTTTGTCCTTCAAAGAAGTTCAAAGAAGAGCGAATGGCAATCCATTGGCTGGCCAACTCCCAGCTAGATTCTTCTCTTCAGTTTACTAGTAATCTGTGTGTAACCGCTGGCCTTCAGCCAACTATGTATGTATGTAAGCTATCCTGTAAACCATGGTTCATCGTCAACAGGTTTTGGATTGTCCGTGGGTAGCCATTGTGCATCTTTGTCACTCAGAATGAACCGTTTCTTATACTCTCGAATCTCTTCCGCTTTGATTCGTTTTTCTTTCATTTCTTGAAAGTCTTCCTCTAGCATCATATCGTAGAGATCTGCTTTGACTTGTTTTAGAAATTCCGAGTTGTCGTCGTCATTATTGTCGGTGTCAGTCGACAATGGAATCGACTCCAATGTCATGCGTTTGGCCATGGATATTCGCGTCCATGCTTCGGTGGTGTCACCCTTGCAGGCTTCCAATGCCCATGCCGCATCCTCGGCGTGACAATTGGCGTTTTCGGCCAAATTTTGCACCTTTCGATCCGTCTCTTCAAAGTAGCACCCTACGCCACTGTCCAACCGCCGTCCCAGTGGAGGCAACAAGTCTTGTGTTTCGGTACCATCCATGGCCCAGGAAAAGAGTCGTTGGGAGACGTCCAGTGGTTCGTCATCGTTGTCGTCGTCATTTTCTTCCGAGTCATCTTTGTCTTCTTCTTCTCGAGGTGGGGGTGGTGGCGGAAGCGGTGTATCATAGAGACCCATGAATAGCACTGGGAGAGGTGTTCTTTGTCCAGTACATGTTGGAACAAGAGAAAACGCTACTGTGGTATCCACACTCCATCCCATTGCCACCAACGCCAGTGACACAACTGAAAGTAAAACCGATTTTCCTGGCATGGTCTTGACTCTTTGAAATCTTGTTTTGACTCTTCCAAAGACAGGGAGAACTTTTAGTAGTGTCTTGTTCGGATGAAGTCGTCCCTGTTGTCATGGTGTCTTCTTTCTCTTCTTTCTCTTCTTTTTTACTTTATTTTCCGCGAACACGTCAGTTCGTGACCCAGAGCTTCAGCCACGATGTTGACTCAATCCGCGACCTGTTTGAGTCAGCTTTTTGATCTGATCTTCTTTCCTCCAACTCTCTTTCTCAATGCTGTTGCCATGCCCATGACACAAGTTATAATCGACTCTCCTACACTACAGAATGCAAATAATACCGTCTCTCTTGGCCTCTCTGTTGTTATGGGCTGCTCCGTCGCTTGGATGGGTACAGCTGCCTCCTTTTCAGCACACAACCAGCTCTGCAGTTTCGTCCTTCCACACCCGACTAGACGCAGCAGCTCGCATTGCCGTTCCAGCGTCGGAATTGGATGCGGATCTGACATCCGATGAACGCACCGTGGTATCGGTAGTGCGCAGCTGTGGTCCTTCTGTGGCCTTTGTGACTTCGGTGTTGCCCTTGGAAAGCACCAGTAACAGTGGTAGAAGAAGACGACGCTGGACTGGGACGCCAAAACCCAACAATCGCACGGAAACCAAAACATTGCCACGAGGACAATCCTTGGGATCTGGCTCGGCATTTGTGGTGGACGAAACTGGATATCTGGTCACCAACTACCACGTCATTGAATCGGCCTATCGCATGATTGCCGCTTCCAAGGCAGTGGATGCCATGGTAGACGGTCTGGTCGCCAATGCTACCAACTGCACGGGATTCTCCTACGACTTTTGGAATTCCACCGTGCAGTCTCTGTTACAGCCATCTTCACTGCCATTGCCACAAATCTACGTGCGTCTCAACAGTGAAACACGATATCAAGCATGTCGTGTCGTTGGTGTCAAACCCGATCTCGATGTGGCGGTGCTTCAAGTACTAACAGAAGATACTGATACAAACAATAACAACACTGCCGTTGTTGTGGCACCGGCCGTCCAGTTGGATCTTCGCCGAATTGCTCGTGGGACAATCCCTCGTGGCCATTGGGAATCCATTTGGATTGGACAGTTCCGTTACGACCGGCGTGGTGTCGGCTGTGGATAGAGAATTGAACACGGTGGGAGGACGCAGTCGGACCCGCATCACTCCCATTCAAGGATGTATTCAAACCGATGCCGCCATCAATCCAGGTAAATGAGTTTGTAGTTTGAGGGTTTGCGAGTTTGTAAATGGAATGTAACATATTGGAATCTATTGGACTGAGTATGATATATGTCTGATTTTCTTGTCGTCATCTTGCACCACCTTTGTGTTTTTGTTTGGCTTGATTGCACGCACAGGAAACTCGGGAGGTCCACTCCTGAGTTTGAAAGGACAAGTGGTGGGTGTCAACACGGCCATTGTCTCCACATCCGGAAGCAATGCCGGAATTGGATTTGCCGTACCCAGTGATCAAATTCAACCCGTCGTCGAAAAAATTATACTCAACGACAAGGCTAGCAGTAGTAGTAAAAAGGGACGTGGATGGTTGGGAGTTTCCATGGTCGATCGACGCACTCTTGACAACAGCAACAATACGCTCGGCGAAAAGAATTGGGTGGCTCGGGTAGAACCCCACTCACCAGCGGAAAAGGCAGGAATTCGAGCCATTCAAATTTTGGACAATGGATCCGTCCGATACGGGGACGCCATTGTGGCCATTGCTGGAAAGACGGTCGAGACATTTGTCGAACTGCAAACAGAACTCAAAAAGTGCGTCGTGGGAGAAAACCTGACCGTGACTTTGGAAGATGAGCAAGGAGAACGACGGGTCGTGTACATTGATTTGGAAGCGAGACCGTAATGAATGTATACGGCTAGGACGGTACGGAACGATTGACCATGCAGGACATGCAAGAGATCGTCGAGAAGGGCAAATAATTGGACAATGGAATGTAAAAAGTGCACAGTCGCGGTCTGATGATCGTGTAGAAAGAAAGAAATGAACATAAAACGTAAGAATTAGACTTACTTTGGAAGAACTTTCTCGCATTGAAGTGAAACACGGCTGCAGAGATGTAACAACTTGTCAGCTACTGATTAGGTCGATCTTTTATGTCTCATGCCCAAGGTTTGCGGGTGCGTAAGTCCATGACTTTTGACGATGGGCGAGCAGGGTGTTGCGTGTTATGACAGTCCACCATACCGTACACTGTCGAAGGCCTTAGTGACGATGAAGAATAAAAGTCGTCAAATGCGGTCACCTCCAGCAGCTACTGATATCAGGTACCCGAGTGATCAATGTGACGGTGTAATCTAGAATTTTGCGGCTCTATTAGTCATTATGTATGTGCATCACCTTGCCGTATCTAGAATGCATGTGTGACGTTTGTCATTTGTATTTTCATCAGCCCATCGGTTCTTCTCCTGAGCGGGCATGGTACGATATGCGATATGTATGTGTTCAGCAGATTGTTGTCTTTTTGTTGTTGTCGAACTGGTCACCGGCTAGATAGCCGGATGCTTACAACCGGGTGATGTCTCTTCCAAACACAGACGACTTGATCCAGTCAAAGGTTACCAGGACACGATTGCGGGTTGCAACTTGTTTCACCAAATACACTGATCGCCAGAGAAGGAACCCAATTGATCCAGCTTTGGACACAACCGAGACTTCTCCGACCTGAACCTGGCTGAGTGCTTCTCCACCCCCTAGATAAGCCAACAGTCCAAGGTTCAGGAAGGTAAATGGAGGCGAGTTCTCGATTCCTCGGAATTGGAGCCAACTGTTCAAGACAGGGTCATAGAAAACATTGGTAGACGAGTTCGAATCGGCGGGAAACACAACGTGAGGGGGTGTGGCAGTTAAGTTGTAGTTTCGACAGAGATTTCGAGCCACAAATGCTCCTTGCTGTCCCGCAACCTGCGCAGTGGAAGGCAGCAGACGTGACTGCCCATCTGGAGATTGCCAGTCATCACTCATCTCTTGGGCAGCCGCATCGCCCAATACCAGAACTGAACCCAACAACGAAGGGTCTTTCATGGCGGGACGCATCCACCGATCAACCTTGATTCTGCCATCGGGATTCCTTGCTTCGGGAGGAAGCTGCTTCAGCAGGGTTTCGCAGAATCCCACTGGTGCTGTCCCTGCACACCAAACAGTCAACCCAATGGGGACCTCGATTTCTTCCCGTTCCGCCGTTAGTTTTCCGTCTTGATCAAATTGTTTGACACTGAGAGTTGCTGATTTTTCAGTAACTTGCTGCACCCTTGTGTTCAAGTACACCTCTACTCCCTTGGCCCGCAACGATGCTAGGGCTTGGGCAGGCAGGGGGTCTTCGAACTGGGGGACTAGATCGGGCCCACCATGAGCCAAGACCACTCGCGTGTGATTGGCCAACTTGGGGTACGTGCCCTTGTGCTCACGGGTGATATCCTGAAACAAATCACACAGCTCTCCGGCAAGTTCCACTCCGGTGGGTCCACCACCTGCAATGAGAAATGTCACTCGTCGCGTCCTTTCGGCCAACGTGCCGGGATCGTTACCCGACGAGATATCGGGCCGAGAAGCATATTCAAAGCACTCCCCAACGGCCGTTCGCAACTTTCTGGCATCGTCCGTTGTCTTGAGACCCAAGGCATATTTCCTTGCACCGGGAACAATACCGTCGTTGACTTTGGATCCCACCGAGACGACGATATGATCATAACTGAGTTGGATGGTGGGTGATTCTTGGTTGTCATCGGTTGTGGTGGTCAAAAGAGGGTTCAACTTGACTGTGACCGTCTTGTTGTTCACATTAATGTCGGTGGCTTTGCCTTCTATATATTCATGAATCATGGGATTGGCAGCCCTGACCGCTTCCGTCATGCTTCTGTACTCGACAGTGCCCACACTGGCGGATGCCAACATGGGTGTAAAGACAAAATGATTGGAAGGACTGACCACAATGATGCGCAATTTTTGGTTGTCGGCCACCTTCATGAGGGCATGTGCCGCCCATCCGCTGCCCAATATGACAATGGTTTTGCGAGTCACATCTTCTTCGGGTGTCAGGACAGCAGCTCCCTTTTCATAGGCCAATCGACGCAAATGCACAAAGGCATCTTCGGCCGTATCCCAAGTGCGTTCCAAGAGTACATCCAGAGGAATTCCAGGTTTGGCGAGAGCTTCGGCTTGGCGAAAATTCTTCCAAACTCGCAGTTCTGACGTAACTTGGCGCATTACGGGATCTTGTTCCATGAGGGATCGGTTGGCACCCAACATGACAAGATCCGAAAGAGAGACCAAGTCGTCCATGCCTTCATTGTTGTTGTCATTGACAACATCCAATTCTGGAGGGGTATTCTCTTCAAACAGTTTCCGAATGTAATCTTCCTCGCTTTTCTCGTCGTCGTTATCACCATCATCATGATTGTCAGTGGAAGATGTGGTCTTGGAGTCTTCAGTAGTGGAGTAGAGGCGGGTTATTGCCGCAAAAGAAGTAGGATTTTGACCCATAGATACCATTTTTCTAACCATGAGAGCCGTGGGAGAAAAAGCGTTCGTGGTCAGCCCGTCTCTTGTCAGCATCGTCAGAGTGGCCAATGCCACTGTTATCAGCTTGCCAGTGATATTCATTTTCTCTGCTTCGCTTCAGGTGGAGTTCAGTATTGTGACTTCTTCAGGTCGGGGAGAAACAGCTAACTGATGTTGGAACGAGGGAAAGCGAAGGTTGCGCTGACGAATTCACAGGGAAGTCTAGCTACGGTAGCCATCAACAAGATATCTGTAGCAATCCACAATCTATCAAGCCATCAGCAGCAACTAAAAAATGCGGAGTGGCAATCCAAATTGCATCAAGGGATCGTATCTGAAGAGGAATTTGTTCTTTCCAGCTGTGCCGCTTCTGAAGATGGCAAAATGGAAACTCCGTGAGCTTCTTTCGCGGAAGTCTGGGATCTTCATTAGGGTTATGGAGTACGACGGGTTATATGCTCAATTTAGCAATTTATTAGGGTTATGAATGATACATACCGGTACCGGTACGTTGCACTGACGTTGGTTGGAGACGAACAAGAACATAATTTTCTTCTCTGCTTCAACTTGAAGACGCTGACATCACGTTTTTCTGTGTTCTTCAGGAGTTCCTGTTTGCTTTGGCGTTCCGATTTGCGAGAACATCAACCTTTCGGTTCTTTTTCTTTTGTGAGGTGTGTACCGGTACGTTCCATACCGTAAATTACGGACTAATAGAGCCTTGCATACTTCGTTAGTTTTCTAGTTTTTGTTGTGGTTGGATGCGGCTCTTCTCTCTGGTACGGTACTAGTAGGAGCTAGCTAGCAGGAAGTATACATATATAGGGTGGGTCAAGTATTATGTAGTTTTGGCAGGCAAGTGGCCGTGTGATGAGATCCACCCTCTATTGTAAACTCTACTGGTCAGTCCTGGCACTACTTTCAGCCATCCTCTTGCTGTAGTCTGCCATGTCCTCCAAGTCGACCCATTTGGTAACCTTGCGCATAAAGTCAGCCTCACGATCCAAAAAGTCACACCATTCTGACCAACGCTGCTTCGGGATGTAATCGAAAGGACCATAGCCTCTCTTATCTTTGACGAAAAGGAGCTCCGGGGAATTTTCCACAATTGTCTTGAAAATGTCAAACCGATCATTGTAGCTCCAGCAAGTGTCATGGAGCGGGGATCGGCCATAGTCGTCGCGGACACGCACCGTGACACCACCTTCGTTCATGAGGAACTTGAGGAGCTTGTTCGAGGCACGGCGGCAGGCCAGATGCACTGTACTCTCTCCATGCTTGTTGCAAGATTGCAAAGTCCTTCCTTTCTTTAGCATGGATCGCATCCTGCCAAAGTCTTCACAACGAATAGCCAGCTCCATTTCCTTGGTATGAGCTTGAATATTGGCGTCCTTGACTTCCAAGAAGTAACCTTCCCACATGGGAGCCGGATAGGAATCAATCTTGTGATCCAGGATCACCGCAAGAGTGTCCCAGGGTCTTTGGGCAGCCTCATCGGTCTCGGTCTCGGCAGTTTCGTGTTGAGACGACTGCACAATCGTCAGTGGCTGCTTCCTCTTGTCACCAAACAACTTCTGCACCATTGGATCATCTTGGGCGACCAAGCCAAGGTCTCCGCCGGCAATGGGAACGCACTTCTTGACGTCAGTCCCAACCGACAGTCCGTAGAGAGATCCCACCGAAGCCTGAAGCTGCGTTAGGGTGCTTTCAATATCCTCTTTCCCGTCGACCGCTTCGCTCTCATCGATGGACTTGGCCGACGTGTCCGCACCGAAGAAGCTTTCACGTCCGCAGCTCGAGTCATCCAGAAGAAGCTTGTCCAGTTGCTCTTTTTTGGATTCTACCGCAGCGCTAAGCCTGGTGACCACCATGCCTGGTACTTGGTTGCGGCGACCCACTCTCCTGGGTGACAGGCTGCGTGCGGAAAGCGACGTCTGCAATGTTGGCCTTGCACCGCCAGGGACAAATCGAAGAGATTCGGACCGAACGGTCAGAGTCGGCCTCTTTGGAGACAGACTCCGAAACGAAGACGAATGCGTGTTGAGAGTTGGCCTCGAGGAGTGAGCAGACCTTGAGTGAGCTGAGACAGTGAGGAGAGTTAGTTCTTCTTCCAATCCCTCGTTCTCTCCGTCATCCCAAGAGGAATCATCAGAGTCGTTGGAATCTCCGTCAGTGTGGCTTTCATCGTCACTGGCAGAATCGTCTTCATCGTCAGACTCCACACCTGTGCTGTCAATGCTGTCAATGTCATCGTCCTCTCCACGTTCCTCACCCGCAGGGTCGATTTCCTTGTGATACTTGTCAAGTGTTGATGTGGTAGCACCGGACACCGTTGCCGGTGATTGCTTCATGGTGTCAAGAATGATGCTAGTGGGATAAAGATGGCGTAGTTCAGTGTTCATGTTTCTTTGATTTTAAAAAAGTGAAGGTATTCTGATTTTATGGCTGAACGACCGTCAGCTGAAGCAAAATGAACTGAAATTGCTGGTAGCTCGGGGCTATTGATGCAGCTTTCTGACCCAGACCGACCAATACTCTAGTGCTTGGGCCACCCAATCGTTTGCTTCACTCACTGGACTCAGACTCGACTCGACTACTAGCCAGCCCGGCTCTAGGCAGCAGTACTCTAGCTAGCTAGAGTATAGGAGAAGTCAGGCCATTTTTTGCTCGACCACCGCAACGTTTCATAGTTCCTATGGAGTGCTGAGTGAAGCTCTCCAGAACCTTCTACTGGAGATGGCTACTTCAAGAATTGAACCATTTCAGAATCATTTACGAGTATTTTGTAGTCATACAGTACTGTAGCTGTGCTTTGGCAGCGCTGCTCTGTACTGCCTCCCTACTCCCCACATCCTCACCATTGGGAGCCACGTGAAATTGCCACTGGATTTCGAGATCTCTACGCTCTGTCCAATCACTTTCTTATCCAATGCTATTGGACGAATGCTGACAGAACGCAGCTGGGCCTGTTTATTGCACTTGCCAGCTCCCAGGCACATGGCAATTACTCAGTACTAGTACAGAATACAGCTGGTTCCATATGATTCCTTGGCAACTCCTCTTATACTCTAGAGTAAGTGTCGTCGATTGACATTAACAACTTGACTCTCCACCAGAATTTGAAGATCTACAGTAGTCTACAACTATAACGGTGGGGCGGAATTGGAAACCGAGTACCACAACTACTAGCTAGTATTTTAAACAGCTATTACCGGTTGCTAGTACTATTATTTAAAAAATACAAAATAGATGTAGCCAGCTTGAAAAATCACACATGACATGTAGGTCTACATGAAGAACGTAGGCTCATTGCATTGCCCTCCTCTTTCTCACACGAGCAAGTCTTTGCTTGAGATCAACGAAGATACTGGTATGGCTGTGCAGCCTGTAGTTGGCTTCTTTTCCCAGTCCATATTCTCTCCACAAATGCAGCAAAAAGTTCGAGTGCTAACTTACTGTGTTCGACAGAGGAGCCAATCCACTCTGCCAAGGAATTCTGGTTGCATACTCACAGATTGCAGGGGAAAAGCACGGGTAGAGTCAAGTCTGGTGGGGCACGCATCAAGCTACCTTTGCTCAGGCGAATGCTGAGCCCGCTGAGAATGTTGCTTTCGTCTCTGGCTGCCTTCTATCCACCGGCATCCTCTAATGACGGCGAGGCCAAAGGCCAAGCGCTGCTTAATATACATGTAATGGTAACCAAAGTGCAAGCATTTGGAGCCTTGAAGTTTGCAGTAATGGATAGTCTTGCTGGAACCAATGACGATCTCCATCCAGCCTAGCAAAGCCCAGAAGCAAACCATTTGCACGCCCCCGTACTACCGTAGGACAAAATGTGAACCGTGCAAGACGGTTGTCGTTGCCAGCTGGGTAGGTATCCAGGTAGCAGAACTATTAGTACCAACTTGGCACTACAGGCAGCCGCTGAGAAACTACATGACCCAGTACAATCATGCAACTCACATTAGGAACCACAACCCTCTCAAGCTTGATGCAGCTTCAACGGTTCTCAACAAAACAATTCTCAGTTCTTCTAGGTACGGAATGTCCACCCTCCTTGGCAAATCAAAAAGAACCAAAGAACCAGTAATGGCCGAAGTTCAAAGGGATGTGAAGTACCTGGTACCACCACAATACGCAGTTTCATTCCTCTGCGTTCATATCAGCAAGATTGGGGCTCAATCGTCCAAATTGAAAGGGAGAGCGGAAAAAGATGGTGACAACCAACGTCCTGTATGCCCACTTTGCAGAGCACTAGCTATAATACCACCGGTAGCTAGACCGTCACCAGAGAGCCAATTTTCCTCGCTCCCATCCACTCCGAAATCTGTGAGGTTTCCAAATCCTTTGCGGCTTCCATTTTGGTGTTTGGGTACCGGCAGCGTAGCTCCCACCCGATCGAATCAAATTGAATTGAATCGAATCAATTCGAATCATTGTCAGCGAAACAAATTTGGAAATTTCGTCACTGTTGATTCTGATTCTGACTCGATTCGATTCAATCGACTCGACTAGTACTGTACCGGTCCAGTAGACTACCCGTCAGCAGTGTTCTTGAGGTGTTCTGAATACAGGCGAATATCGCGCGAGAAGTCCAATCACTAACGCAATGTCGCGCCTTACGTTGGCTCCCGTATGGACTTTCAGACATGCATGGGGCATTAAGGCACAATGAACACTTACTTTTGCTTCTTTGCCACTGTGAGAGTACTGTAGCAATCATTCCCTAGTGGTTATTCACGAGAGAACCTGGTTCCGTGTCATTGGTTTGAAAACTTTAAGTAAATTGTCATTGGCATCACTAGTTGTCTCAACATGTGTTCAACTCGACTAGCAGTCCCACTTCCTTCGCTTCCTATAAGTAAAACTAGTACTCATAAGGCGGTGTGATGAGGCTTAATAGCTATTTAAGCAGGGAAATCAGACTACAAAATGTGAGATGCTCTAGAAGGCTTCGGTGCCAAGTGATGGACAGTCCGTCGAGAAATCCGGCCCGCTCGACAAAGATCAATGAGATAATAGGGGTGTCCAAGGCTCGACAAAAAGAGATAAGAGGCTAACCAAATCTGAATCAATCATATGGCAACCAACGATATGAAAACGATTGTGATAACAAAGGCGCTTGGGCAAAAATGGGTCAATAAGCGGATGAAACTAGGTCGAACCAGTCCGGTAAGACAAGTGACTAACTGTCCCACGAGGGTTCGCAACTTCGTCCGACAAGCCCACACTAAAGGGCAATTTGACCGATACCCAAACATGTTTCAGCTTCGCCGCCGAGGGAAGCATCTGCGTACCGGTAGCCCACAAGACTGCATGACGTAACAGCACTCTCGTAAGCTGTACTAGTTCCTGCGATCTTTTACGTCCGAGGACATTTGTGACCGCTTCTAGCCACCGGTAGCTTTCTCCAAAAATGTACCGCTCAGAGCTCGAGTACCGCTTTGACGCACGAACATGTTGTCTCTCATAATTTCTCATCCTTTGCCACCAAGGACGAAATTATCTTCGAGACGATTACCAACCTTCCGTTGTTGAAGATCGGCTCCCTTGATGTTTGTTGCTCTTGGTAGCTAACAAACAAACAAGGAAAGCTGATACGATGGTGACTCCATGGGGCCTTGGCCGCCGCGGCACACCGGTAAAATGAAGACGCTCTCTTCGGAGAATGAATATCTAGCAATCTATTGTTGGAGAATTGGCGGTATGCTACCTTTTTTTGTAAAGAAGACTTTGACAAGCCGATGGCTCTGTTTGTCAATTGCAAGCTGCTTTAATTCTTGGATTTGTGAAAAGACTACTGGAGCGAATGGTTCCAAGGACAATACTGGAAATCTTGCCAACAGTTTGGCCTACTTTTTCTTCCATGTTATCATGTTTGGCTCTTCCTATTTTTCGACCTCCGTACCCGAAAGTGGTAGTGTGGAGGGGAAAAGAGTCAAGTTTGTTGATGTGATGAAGGCTTTGGGAGGAGATACCATACACACTACACGACTACAAGCATTTATATATGTGATACATGTGGACAATGACGGACCAAAAGCTGCCATCCTCTTCGGGGTGGTGCCTGAAGGGGATATCCCGCAGCTTTTGGCCGTGGTTTCATGTTTGTGTATTTGTTGGAGTGTATGTGTGATTCCAGACCAAGAAGACGACAAGCACACAAGATGGACAGTGTTGTTGGAGGTATATTTGTGAAGGGGTGTGATGTTTATTGAAGAGACGGAGAAGAACAATTGTGATTTGTGATCGAGCGGAATGTTCTGTTTGAGACTTTGGAGAGTGCTGGTTCACGAGGTTGGAGGGGACTGGTGATTCATTCAATCAACCTTTTGATTATCA